ATTCTTGTATGTGCTCTGATTGGGGATCAAACCCAAAATCTTGGTGTATCAGGATGACACTCTCACCAACTGAGCTACCCGGCCAGGGCCTACGCATATGTTTTCATCCCGAGTGGTTTTTGAAGGTAGTATTTTGATTGTATTTCCGCTGACAAAAAGAATTATAAAAACATTTAATAGGTTTGCTTTTCACACAGGTAGGGATTAGAAATTCTGAAACTAATGTTTGTATATCTGCAATTAGCAAATGCAGTCATGTGCCACCTAACATCAGGGATACATTCTGAGAAATGCATCGTCAGGTGATTTCATTGCTGTGAGGGTATCACTGATTGCACTCACACAGACCTCAATGCTTTAACCGGTTGCTCCTAGGCTACCAGCCCGCACAGCATGTTGCTGTACAAAATACCACAAGATTGAATCAAGCAAAGAGAAAATGACACAAGCAAAGACCTGGTAAACATGAGATGCATGAGGCAACCAGCTGTAATGCAGCTTACTGTTTGTTTTTTTAACATATCTTATTGATTTTCTACAGAGAGGAAGGGAGAGGGATAGAGAGCTAAAAATATCAATGAGAGAGAAACATCAATCAGCTGCACATCCAGTAGGGGATGTGCCCGCAACCAAGGTACATGCCCTTGACCGGAATCGAACCTGGGACCCTTCAGTCCGCGGGCCTACGCTCCATCCACTGAGCCAAACCAGCCAGGGCAGCTTACTATTTTACAGCAAACTTTTTGTAAGTAGAAGACACTCTAAGATAATGATAAAAAGTATAGTACAGTAACATAGTTGTCATCATTATCAAGTATCATGTACTGACTCACCCCAACTCAAGAGAGACACACCCTTTCCCAATTTTGTGTCCAGTGATGACATGAGTGTGATGGGAATATTTGCACCGAAATCCACAAGTGTTACAAATCCAGGCTTTTTACCCCTGGAGAACCAGCTGTTGGTCATTTATACGCAAAACACTGGATCAAAGTTACTACCACTGACAATGTAGTAGGTTATTTTTTACACCAGCATCACCACAAACATGCAACATTGCACTATGACCTTAGGACTACCACTGACAATGCAGTCGCATCACCACAAACCTGTGAGTAATGCATTGCACTATGACCTTAGGACAGCTACAGTGTCACCGGGTGATAGGAATTTTTCAGCTCCATTATAATCTTATGAGATGGCGGACTGTCATTGACCAAAATGTCATTCTACAACACATGACTGTAAATCAACATTCTGAGGATAATGGGGGTCAGGTCTCTCACAGTCAGAGAAAGAAATCACAGATATGAAAAGGAGATCAGAATGAACCCTGTGGACTTGGACTGAAATTGAAGATATTATTATGAGCTCATGGTTTTAATATAGATAGATATTGAGAAATAGAAATAGACACAGATATAAATCCTAACTCTGTCTGCTGAGAAGGCTACAAGTAATGACATAATGCACTAACAATGAGCACTTCTAGTGCCAAGAACTTGGCTTCTAAATACCATCCTACACTAAAATAAACCAGGCCTCCTTGAAGAAATAGCTAGGTGGGGTTAGGGGATGAGGGTGGGAGGTTTCAGCCTGCAACAGCATGTTATGTCAGGACATAGAAAGTGTTCGAAGAATGATGGAACCATATCATAGGCCATAAGAGCCAGCTTGAAGGGACTCAGACTAGCCAAACCTGGGACCATTTGACCATCAAAATAATTATAGTCATGGATAACCTACTGAATTAAATAGAAATCAATGAGTCCAAACTGATATAAATAAATCGGAAATAAAAGAAAGCAATTCCTCATAGTAGAATGCCAACTGAAAAATACAAAAGAAATTATGCCTTTAAAAATGTGACCCTTTGTTCATTGATTCAGGCAAGACTCATCAACGGATGCTGCAATTAATGGGTAAAAGTCTGATAAATAACAGGATATTTGTACAATATTAAAGTATCTCATCCAAGCCGGGAGCGGTTTAGCTCAATGGATAGAGCGTCGGCTTGAGGACTGAAGGGACCCGGGTTCGATTCCGGTTGAGGGCATGTACCTTGGTTGCGGGCATATCCCCAGTGGGGGGTGTGCAGGAGGCAACTGATCGATGACTCTCTATCATCGATGTTTCTAACTCTCTATCTCTCTCCCTTCCTCTCTGTACAAAATCAATAAAATATATTAAAAAAAAATAAAGTATCTCATCCACAAAAGACGGTAACTATAAAGGGGGAAATAGTAACCTTGCTAAACATGTGCACACACCACCTCACTCCAGGTGACAAGGGGGCGGTGGGCTACTGCTGACTCACCCAATCCCAGGGGGCACTCCCCTCCCAGCTGTGGGTTCAGTGCGGACGGGGGGACCGTAATGGGCGCATTTGCACCGGAATCCGCGCATGTTACAGACCCAGGCTTTTCACCCGGGAGAACCAGCTGTTATAAGCACAACAGCCGGACCAGCGTTACTCCCCCAGACAAGCTGTGTGTGCTTGTTCACACCAGCATCACCACAGAATGGTATTCTGCCCAGAACGCAGACCCTCCTTCTAAGGATGAGGAAGCATCAGAAAGAACCTAAATCGAAAGACGTTCTGCAAAATAACTGGACGAGAGGAAGAGATCTCGTCCAGAGAAAAATGGTCGAGCAAACGTGACAACATGTTCACCATGGAGAACCTCGGTGCGGGGCATACCATGCTCTGAACTGTCCCCGGAACTTTTCTGTAAGTCTGACATTTCTTTTTTTAATGTATTTTATTGATTTTTTACAGAGAGGAAGGGAGAGAGATAGAGAGCTAGAAACGTCGATGAGAGAGAAACATCGATCAGCTGCCTCCTGCACACCCCCCACTGGGGATGTGCCCGCAACCAAGGCACATGCCCGTGACCAGAATCGAACCTGGGACCTTTCAGTCTGCAGGCCGCTGCTCTATCCATTGAGCCAAACTGGTTTCGGCCATTATTTTATTTTATTTTATTTTATTTTTTAAATAAAATCAGTTATAAAGAAAAAACCGCCAACGCTACCTGACCCTCTGCCCTCATCCTGCAGTCGAGGCGGTGAGCCAGGCAGTGAGGCCTCCTCGTGCCCAAGGGCGCGGTCACAACTGGAGTGAAGCGGCGAAGTAGCGTCTACCGGCCACGGGCCCGGGCGGCCCGCCCTGCGCAGCTGCAGCGTGAGCCTCTGCAGGGGCCGCAGGGGCGAGGCCTGGCCGCCAGGCGACCGTGGGCCTGGGCTCCGGCCACAGTGGCTGCCCCTCTGACAAGCACCATCTCTAAAACCAGAGCCTTACCCTCCGACGGCGGCCCCTCCAGGCCCCACACCAGCGCGTCCTCTGCGCCCACTGTCCTCCCTATACTGGGCCTGGGAGCCGGGAACAGCACTCACAGCCACACAGGGAAGCGGGGAGTTCCCTTGTGGAGACAGAGTGAAGTCATGGCTCCTCCGAAGGCCTGACTGTCTCCTTACTGTGGCCTTGGAAAGCCTAATGCTCCCAAAACCGGTGTAGCTCAGTGGATAGAGCGTCGGCCTGTGAACTGAAAGGTCCCAGGTTCGATTCCAGTCATGGGCGTGTACCTTGGTTTTGGGCACATCCCCAGTGGGGGGGGGGGAGGGGAGTGCAGGAGGCAGCTGATCGATGTTTCTCTTTCATGGATGTTCCTGACTCTCTATCCTTCCCCCTTCCTCTCTGTGAAAAATCAATAAAATATATATATATTTTTAAAGCAGCAGCAGCAGCAGCAGCAGCAGCAGCAGCAGCAGCAGCAGAAGAAGAAGAAGAAGAAGAAGAAGAAGAAGAAGAAGAAGAAGAAGAAGAAGAAGAAGAAGAAGAAGAAGAAGAAGAAGAAGAAAGTCTAAGGCTGTGGTCCAGGTGCTGCTGCTGCTGTGAGAACTTCGGCCAATAGCAGCTGGCCACGCCCCCTGGGAGGAGGGTGGGGATGGGCTGCCCCAGTATCCATCCATCAGCTGGGAATTGAGCGAAGTGTGTTCCAGCCTCACCAAGCAGTTCTGATCAACTGTTCTCCGCTCAGGGAGCGCCAGGAGGCCGCAGGTTGGTGGGATACGCCACAGGTATTGTGCCTCTCCACTTACCCGTTACATTTTCTAAGGAAAGCTGATTCGTAGGATAGAGCCATCGCATTTGAAATTTTGAGATGGAAGTAGTAAGTTGCAGGGTAACAGACTGGGGTGCTGTTAAACCATGCTGACAGTGACTATAGCTGCTCTCCCGTGTCCTCATTCATCCTGGGCCCACGAGGAAGATAATTTCCATGGTCTAGCATAGCACCTGCACATGGAAGGTGCTGGGTAGATATCAATGACTTTGTAACTCTCTGCGCGTTCTGTGGAGCCGGAGTGCCCATTCTCCCGTCCCCTGTCAATCGGAATGTGTCCTTGCCTATATCGGCACTGCTGTCCTTCCTTAAAATGACATTTAGTAAAATAAACTCTGGGTTCTTACTGTTTGTGGGAGAATTCTGAGGTTCCCAATGACTTCAAATGCTGAGCAGTGAAAAAGAAACTGAAAATATAATCACAAACAGTTTCTCACAGTGTCCATGGGATCTGATTATGATTATGTCTCTTTATGTATTTTCCTTTTACCCTTTCCACACAAAATGAAAGGATCCCCTGAAGAAAAGGGTGAAGAAAAGATGACTTTATTTCCATTGAGCAGACAGGCATGACAAACACAGGAAGACAGATCACATAACCAAAAGTATATTGGGAGCCCGGCCAGGGTTGCCCAGGGGTTGAGTGTCGACCTATGAACCAGGGGTCACAGTTCGATTCCCGGCCAGGGCACAGGCCTGGGTTGTGGGCTCGATCCTCAGAGGGGGATGTGCAGGAGGCAGCCGATCAATGATTCTCTTTCATCATTGATGTTTCTGTCTCTCTCTCTCTCTCTCTCTCTCTCTTCTTCTCTGAAATCAATATGTATATTTAATGATTCACAGCAACCTCATTTATCCCCTGCTGTTACCAGAGAGAAAAATGTCATCAGATAACCAGTGGTCAGCAGATGAGGATGAAGGTCAATTATCCCGGCTGATCAGGAAATCTAGAGACTCCCCCTTCGTGCCTGTCGGTAAGTACAAGCCGTGACTGGGTGCTGGAAAGCTGTCTGTAATGGTACAATAATGCTATACCCAGTATCTCGGAGGATTGAAACGTTTCATGTAACTGATTTTTTTCAGATAATTGAAGCTAACCCCTTCTAAGCATAAGCTGCACTTTCAGAAGTTTCTAGTACATGATGAATCCTCAGTGATGGTTAGCTATTATTATGACGGAGCATCAGATTTTATTCTAATCCATCTTCATTAGAGGGTTCAGTAGAATGATCAGATCCCAGCCAATCTAAGTGGAATGGACTGAATGGGCTTTAATTTTCTGTGATGACTCAGGAGCACACTGAAGGTCAATCAGGACTGTGAGGATGGATGCGGCTCTCCGTCCTCTAAGTAACGCCAACCTTTAGATTCTCGTGTCTGATGTTTACAGATTTTTTGTTTCTTCCATATTATTGGGTACCATAAAAACTTTCTGCCTCTGATGTTCTCTGGCACTAGACGCTAGATACCTAAACTTAAAATGAGTGGCTGAAACCGGTTTGGCTCAGTGGATAGAGCGTCAGCCTGCGGACTGAAGGGTCCCGGATTTGATTCAGGTCAAGGGCATGTACCTTAGTTGCGGGCACATCCCCAGTCGGGGGTGTGCAAGAGGCAGCTGATCAATGACTCATCGATGTTTCTAACTATCTCTCTCCCTTCCTCTCTGTAAAAAAATCAATAAAATATGTGTGTGTGTGTGTGTTTTTTTTTTTTTAAAAGAACGAGTCGGTTCAGAGAAAAGAAGCTCTCAGTGGAAGCCTGGGCCCTCCTGTACACCTGAGAGCTTGAACTGTGTGGTGTTCATGTTCAGTGGCTCCCTGATCTCTAGATGGTGAGGTTGATGGTTAAGTCATCTCCAGATTAAAGAACGTAATTACAATTAGACCTCCAGGTTTTGGCCTCTTTATCCTTTCCCAACACATATTTATTATGTTTACATTTTCAACAAATATTTAATGTATGTGAGCTTTTAAAAAAAATCTAGGCACCAATATTGTTTTTTAAAATCTAAGCTTTCTCATGCCCGGCTGGTGTTGCTCAGTGGTTGAGCATCGACTTATGAGCCAGGAAGTTGCTGATTTGATTCCTGATCAGGGCACAGGCCTGGGCTGTGGGCTTGATCCCCAGTGTGAGGCGAGAAGGAGGCAGCCTACCAGTGATTCTCTCTTACCATTGATGTTCTAGCTCTCTCCCTCTCCCTTCCTCACTGAAATCAATTAAAATATATATTTAAAAATCTAAGCTTTCTCTTCTCTTTTGGATGCTTCAGCTGCCTTAAGCATTATTATTGTATACTGCAACCATGCCTCTTTCCTTATAACTTTGGAAACTATTAAAATAACCTATATAAATTAGACTTACGTAAGTTTGTGATTAATTCCATAAGTCCTTCTAAGTAGGTATTCTATCTTTCCACTGTCACTGTAAGTCTAACAGCTTCATGTCATTAGTCACATATCAGCAAGAATTAAAGTTTTACTTTATAGTAATACTGTGTTTAGAAGTTTCATTAATTTGAATGACTTGTAATAGCACCGGTAACAAATCTGAGCAAATACATTTATAGTGATTTATTCATCTTCCTTAGCATTTTCAACTAGAAAAACAACTCAAGACCTCGATGCCACCTGCACAGATCACTGTAATGAGCAGAGATTAATCACTGTGCCTGCTGTAAATTAAATTATTTTCCAGACACATTTAAGGTGATTAAAGTAGAAAGATGAAAGTGTTTCCAGCTAAATTCAATTATATACAAACTACAGAGACACTATATGGAAAACAGTAAAGGTTCTGACTTTAATCTCTAAATGAAACAAAACCAATTTAAGTAAAAGCAGAACCTTGATTTGATAAGGGAAGAGAACCAAGTTTTTGCTAGAAAAATAATTAATGATAAAATTGGGGTGTATATTATTGAGTAGTTTGTTTAGTTATTGTTATTTTAATAATGTCTATTTCCTGCTATAGGATGGAAGTGTACAGTGCAAATAATTTATAAAACATTTTTTGTTATCTTCAATAACTTTCATCATTATAATCCATCTATATTGTTTAAAATGGTCTTATATCACTATGATCACTGTTAAGACCTATACGTATATTATGTGCATTTAAACTGTGTTGATATATTGTTTTTGCTTCTTTCACTTAACATTTCATATGTACACTTCTGTGTATTAGTACTTTCTATACTTACAATTTTTTTATAGCTATGACAGATTTTCCTTTGTTTGAGCCATTTGGGCCGTTTAGTTTTTCTTTACACATAATGTAGCCATAAAATCTTTGTGTCAACTTCTTAAATTTTCTTTTGCTTATTTCCTTGGTGCATTTCCCAAAGGTAGAATTTCCAGAGCAGGAAGCATGTTCAGTTTAAATGTCACTTATTATATATTTCCAGAGTTCTTTCCAGAAAGATTTAGCTAAACTTGCAGAGTTTTCAGCATGGTACCATCTCTCAATGTGCCTACCATCATCATTTTATTAGTATTTTCTTTTTGCTGATTTTATGTATTTGTCACTTTCATTTCAATTTATTTCTATTTTTATACTAGAGGCCCAGTGTATGAAATTTGTGCATGAGGTGGTGTGTCCCTCAGCCCATCCTGCACCCTCTCCAATCTGGGACCCCTCGAGGGATGTCTGACTGCCATTTTAGGCCCAATCCCAGTAGGATTGGACCTAAACGGGCAGTCAGACATCCCTCTCACAATCCAGGACTGCTGGCTCCCAACTGCTCTCCTGCCTGACTTCCTTATTGCCCCTAACTGCTTCTGCCTGCTAGCCTGATGACCCCCTAACCAGTCCCATGTCAGCCTGATTGATGCCTAACTGCTCCCCTGCCAGCCTGATCGCCCCTAACTGCCATCCCCTGCAGGCCTGGACCCCCTAACTGTCCTCTCCTGCAGGCCTGGTCCCCAACTGCCCTCCCCTGCAGGCCTGGGTCCCCCGCAACTGCCCTCCCCTGCAGGTCCGGACTTCCCCAACTTCCCTCCTCTGCCAGCCTGACCACCCCTAACTGCCTTTCCCTGCAGGCTTGATTGCCCCCAACTTTCCTCCTTTGCAGGCCTGGTCCCTCCCAACACCCTCCCTTGCTGGCCATCTTGTGGCAGCCATCTTGTGTCCACATGGGGGCAGCCATCTTTGACCACACGGGGGCAGCCGTCTTATGTGTGTTGGAGTGACAGTCAATTTGCATATTACTCTTTTATTAGATAGGATTTTGCTTTATCTTTAATGTTGAGAATATTACAGATGTCCCCTTTCTTTCCCCCAGTGCTCCCCTCCACCCGGTTCCCACCCCACCCAACCTTCACCACACTATTGTCTGTGTCCATGGGTTATGCATATATGCTCAACCACAGAGCCACACTGGCCTCGCAGAATAGCAAGTTTTGATTAACCAAATTCTTGGTTAATCTCTGCCTATTCCCCATTCCTCCCCTTCCCCCTGAAATCCATCCGTCTGTGCCATGCTTCCATGCCTCTGGATCTGTTTTGTTCAGCTTTTTATTTTGTTCAATAGATTCCACATGAATGAGATCACATGATATTTCTCTGACTAATTTCCCTTAGCATGTTGCTCTCCAGGCCCCTCCATGCTGTCTCAACGCGTCAAAGATCCTTCTTTTTTATAGCTGCATAGTATCCCATTGTATAATGTACCACAGCTTTTTTATCCACTCATCTACTGATGGGCACTTGGGCTGTTTCCAGATCTTAGCTATTGTAAATTGTGCTGCTATGAACATAGGGGTGCATATATTCTTTCTGATTCGTGTTTTGGGATTCTTATGATATAGTTCTAGAAGTGGGATCACTGGGTCAAACAGCAGTTCAATTTTTTTATTTTTTAAGAAAATTCTATACTGTTCTCCATAATGGCTTCACCAGGCTGCATTCTCACCAGCAGTGTATTAGGGTTCAATTTTATTTATTGCAAATAAGCCTATAGGATATACATGTTTTTATTTACTCTGGTCCTCACTTCCATTTGTTAAGTAGATCCTAAAAGAATAAATACAACCTTGCTCACCTATAAAGATACACATGTGCCAACATAATTAATCAAAACTTGCTATTCTGCCCAGTGGGTGTGGCTCAGTGGTTGAGCATCTATCTATAATACCTACGAACAGAGGTGGTCACGGTTCGATTCCTGGTCAGGCTTGATCCCCAGTGTGGGGTGTGCAGGAAGCAGCCAATCAATGATTCTCTCTCATCACTGATGTTTCTTTTTCTTTTTTTAAATATATATTTTATTGATTTTTTACAGAGAGGAAGGGAAAGACATAGAGAGCTAGAAACATCGATGAGAGAGAAACATCAACCAGCTGCCTCTTGCACACCCCCCACCGAGGATGCGCCCGCAACCAAGGTACATGCCCTTGACCGGAATCGAACCCGGAACCTTTCAGTCTGCAGACCTACGCTCCACCACTGGGCCAAAATGGTTTCGGCTCATCACTGATGTTTCTATCTCTCTCTCCCACTCCCTTCCTCTCTGAAATCAATAAAAAATATATATTTTTTAAAAAAACCTTGCTATTCTGCATAAATATCAATTGCATTGCCCTGCTGGTATGGTTCAGTGGTTGAGTGTCAACCTTTGAACCAAGTTGTTACAGTTCAATTTCTGACCAAGGGAATTGAAATAAAATATCAATTACATTTTTATGTACTAATAATAAACGCATGGAAACCAAACTTAAAACATAACACCCTTTCTCAAAGTAGAAGAAATGACTTTTTAAAGCACATAATTTGTGAATTTGCCAACTTTTTTATTTAAATAGTATCACATAGTCGAAGTGGTATTGGAAATAATTTTGTGAAATCAAGTCCACTTAGGAATATTTGAGCAATGTCCAAAAACAAAACAAAAATAAAAACAAAAAAGCCATAAATACCATTTACAATCACTCCAAAGAAAATTGCTTAAGTATCAGCTTAAGAAAACATGTACAGAATCTGTATGCTGAAAATTACAAAATGCTAATGCAAGAAATTAAAGAAGACCCAAGTAAATGTAGAGACTATTGTGTTCATGGATTAGAAGACTCAATATAAAGATGTCAATTCTCCCCAAACTGATTTATAGGCTTAGTGTAATTCCTATCAAAATCCCAGCAAGTTTTAAGTTCTAGAATGGTTAAAATGATACTCAGACATATAGCTACAGTAAATAAGATGGTGTAATACAGATGGAGGGATAAATGCATATATCAACAGGATAGAGGAGAAAACTCAAAATGTAGACCCACACTTTTATTCATGTTTTCTTCATTCTTGTGTTAAAATATTACATCTGTCCTTGTCATTTTAAGTCTACCTTACCCTCTTTTGGATGTTATAAGCATGCTAGTCTATTCCTTCTATTTTTTGTTGTTGATATTTTTGTTTTATTTTTACACTTACTTCTAACCCATCCAGGATTTTTTTGTAGTGTCTGGTGTGAGATAGAAATCCAAGTTAGTTCTCTATACCAATAAATTACACTCATTATGTTTATTAAATAATTATTCCTTCATCTGTTATTAAATTATTTTGACTTGTCATGGCTTATCACAGTGTTTTAAATCTCTTTCCAGGATCTTCCCTATTCAGTTGACCAGTTTTCTACTTTAGAGCCAATTACATAGTATCGTGATTGCCACCGCAATAGCTTCCCCCTTACTGGTAACTTTTGTAGAGAAGACAGGAACATTTGCAGGGATTTCTGGAGTTTTCTAGAATCACAGTTCTTCCTGGAACATACTTCCTGTGTATCTCTCATTCGCTTAATGTCTCAATTTTACAGAAGATTCAAGTTTTACCACTTTACTTCACCTGCCCCTCCTTTGATAACAAGTAGAAAGGAATAAAGCCAAACCCTCAAAAGCTGTAGGATGTTTGGTAGGTCTACTCACCAAGGACTTGCCCAAGCATAAGCCTTGCTGCATGCACAACTTAAAATCATATCTCAGGAAAATTCCAAATTACTACACTATATGGTTCTGGTTTTCCTGGGAAAAGGCTAAACTTCAAATATCAAATCCATGAGTTATGAGTCCATTTTAAAATCTGGTGAATCAGCCCTAGCTGGTTGGCTCAATAGATAGAGCATTGGGTACAGGGTTTGATTCCCATTAAGGGCACATGCTCAGGTTGCAGGTTCAATTCCCAGTAGGGGGCGTGCAGGAGGCAGCTGATAAATGATTCTCTCATCATTGATGCTTCTATCTCTCTCCCCATCTCCCTTCCTCTCTGAAATCAATAAAAATATTCTTTTAAATAAAATCTGGTGAATCAAATCCAGCAAGTTTCTTTTGCTATCTTGGCTGCTCATTCTCTAAGCACTTATCCTTTGGACAGTCCTTTATTCAACTCTCTAAGCTCATGCCAATCTGGGCTGCTACTTATATAATTTTTTTTGTTTCACAGGGATAGCGGGCTTCATGGCTGTGGTGTCCTATGGTCTTTACAAGTTAAAGTACAGAAGAAATCAGAAAATATCCATTCACCTTATTCACATGAGAGTTGCTGCCCAAGGATTTGTTGTAGGAGCTGTGACTCTAGGTAACCTGCTTCATTTGTAGCTTGTGTTCAGCTATCTTTGAGAGTATTTTTATTTATTTTACTCATTCATAGTTGAAGATGAATATTGGGTCAAGATGACATCATTGTGGAAGACTGGTAAGAAAAACAGTTCTTTACGTGGTTGAGGCTTAATTTATTAAAATTTTAAACACTGAAAAAGACACCACCACCAAAGTAGGCAGAAGGTACACATTTCCAGTTACAAAATAAACTATAAGCCTAATGAACGAAGATTTGTGCTAGAATGGGCCTTCCTTTCCCTGGCTGCCTGCACCGCCTTCCCACTCTGGCCGAGCCACGGAGCCATCTTTTTGCTTCTGCCCGCCTTGTTAGGCTAATTTGCATATCACTCCTGATTGGCTGGTGGGCAGAGCAGAGGTACAGTCAATTTACATGTCTGTCTATTCTTAAATAAGTCACAGAATGGAATATACAGATTGGCAACTATAGTTAATAGTACTTTTATCGCATATTTGAAAGTTGCTAAGAGTAGATCTTAAACGTTCTTATGTAACTATGTATGGTAATGGATGTTAACTAGACTTATTGTGGTGATCATTTCACAATATATAAAAATATCAAATCATTATGTTGTACACATGAAGTTAATGTAATGTTGTATGGCAATTATACATCCATTTTTACAAACCCAGTGGAGAACTAACTGTAGGCCCTGTTAGCCGCTATTATGACAGCAGTGAACAGTTCATACCTACAACAGCTGAAGCAGTGGTTATACACCTGCCTTTATTGCTCAGTAAGAGCGGCAGTCATAGTTCCCAGCCGACTGAACAACAGATACAATTATTAAAGTTTAACTGGGGAGAAAATGTTTTTAGAGTCCACAAGTCCTAATATGCTTGTTTTCCTTTTATTCCAAGTTTGAGCAATAGGAAATCTTTTTTATTAGTCTATGAATTAAGCAAAAAAGTCCACTTTGGAATCTAAATTATCTTGATTTTTTGGGGGGGTCTATATTCATGAGACCAAGGCACAATGTTCTTAGCTTCCCCCTGCCACTCCCCCCGTCCGGCTGTACAGAGTAGAATCGGCCTAAGAGAAAGTCTAGGTCTATGCAGATAGGTGTGGGGCTTGCACATAGGGAGTCAAATGGTAATTATCTTATTACTATGAACTGTGATAAGGGAGTCTTGAACAAAACACAAAAGAAATTTTATAAAGTTATAGTGCTCATTTTTGTCATTCAGCAAATATTTACGAGGCAGTTTCTATTTGCCAGGCGCGGAGCTGGCCTATAGGCGTGGAGGTAGGTCTTGGTCCCTACCCTCACATACTGTTAGTCTCCTCGGGGCAAGAGGCTAAGAACAGCAAAGAAAATACAAAGTCATAGGTGCTGTGGCGGGGGTAACACGGGGGCTTGGGGAGCACAGACACCAAGGAGGGGCATCTGACTGGCGCTGAGAGTCCCAGAGGCTCTGTAAGGGTGTGAACTGTATAATGAGCTGAGAAAGGGAGGAATTAATTCCGCAGAGAAGATCAGGAATTAACGAGGCAGAGGAAAGAGCAACGGCAGCGGAGCATGCGCCTCCGTGGAACTTGGGGCTTGTATTCGATGAGAGAAGCAGAATGACCAGCAGGAATGTATGTGTCAGGAGCTGGGCCCACAAGATGAGCAAAACCGTGCTACGGCCGAGCCTTCCGAGCAGAAAGAGACTGCGGCTGCTGCTCCCCTTCTGCCTTCCCAACCTCCAGCAAAATGCCTCTGGGCAACAGGGCGTGAAAGGAAAGGAATTCTCTCCTGGAAGTCGTGCGGCTTTCAAGCCCCTCACAGGACCAGAAGCTAGGAATTAAAAGCCTCCGAGCCCATCACTGAGCTTTCCAGCACCCTTAGAAGTAACCAGCCTTACACTCCTACACGCCTGCTTCCCCTCAGTGCTCCGTGGAAGCAAACACTTGGTCAGCAAACACCTTGCTTTTTATAGGCAACTGATTAAGGGTATCTACAGGCGGTAATTTCACAAAACGTTCTGCTGATGCATGATAGCACCGTCTTTACCACGGAAAGAAATGGCCATTGATACCTTTAAGTCCACTCAGACCAACGAACCGATTCCAGGTAACCTGGGACCAACACAAAGAACCTATCCTCATGGTTATGTCGCTCTGGAAGCTCCTGCTACCAAGTTCTGTTTCAACCAAGGTTCATTCAGAGGAGGAAAACTACTAGAGATGACACATAAGAAGGGATTTATTATAGAGAGATGATCTTAAGCAAATCTGGGAGCTGGTTAAACAGCCCATGCTAGGCTTATTGCTTGTGCTTCCAATGCGGGGGCCCGAGGGTAACACGGCAGTAGTTGGAAGGCAAAATAAACTGGAATCTGCAAGGATGAACTGCAGCCCACCAGGACAGAGGGAACCGGAGTCAGTCCCTTACGGACTCCAGCCCTGAGCCCGTGTGAGCTGCAGAAGTGGCACCTCCATCAGGGAGCTCATCCACACCGGCCAACGCCGGAGGAGATGGGGAGGCGACCCAGGCGAGCTGAGGGCACGGCGGGCCTGCTGCCCAGCAACAGCAAGGTGGGCCCGCGGACAAGCAAGGGCACCTGGTGCTCTGCACCAAGCCCTCCAAGCACAATCCGGCCGTGGCAGCTGCTGCTTCAACGGTCACCTTCATGCCTCAAGGTCGCATGAGCCAAACTCCCCCACAGCTATGCCGGGAAGGGAACTCTGGAAAATTTAGATCTATACCAGGAATTCCGAGCAAAGACCAAAGTCTTTATTAAACAGCAATACTCTGTGAGGTAGGTACTGTTATTATTCCATTTTACAGATAAGGAAACTGAGGTTTAGAGAGGACAAGTCACTTGTTCACAGTCACATGGGCAATCTACTCCAGTGCCTGAACTCTCAATTCTATATGATACTGACTGAGATACCTACGACCTGTTTCCAAATTAGAGTGCTCATCCCCTACGAGATATATGAGGAGGTCCATGGGGATATGGGAAGATAATACTTTTATCTTAAAAATAAAACCTTTACCAATACATAGGCTGACCATGGGACACATACTGTTTATAAACAAATGTGCATCTTGAGGGGCATGTTCATCATATTTACTTATGCACATTTTAAGTTTGGAGACCACTTTCCTATAGAATGTAGAAATAACACATATGGTACAATGAATATATATGGGGTCTCACACTCAGAAGAGAAATCTAACGTAGATCTAACTTGCCGACCAGTGAGGCAACAGGTGTGAAAAGAGTTGGGATAAGAACCCCAGGGAACCCCAGCATTGAGAGGTAAGAATTCTCTGTCTGAAAAGCACAGGGAACAAACAGGAGAGAGGCCCTGTGATGAGGGAGGCGGAGACCGCAGTGCGCACCAGTCCCAAGCACAGTCCCCGTCAGAGGCCAGGAGAGGCGTGGAGCGGGTTCTCCCTCGTGTCCTTCAGAAAGTAACAAGCCTGCTGATACCTGGACCTCAGACTCCCAGTCTCCAGCATTGTGAGACAACGCATTTCTGTTGTTTTCAGGAGAGAGAGAGAGAGAGAGAGAGAGAGAGAGAGAGAGAGAGAGAGAGAGAGAGAGAGAGAGAGAGAGAGAAGGAAGAATTAGAAGCAGCACAGGGAAATGAAAGAAGCCTTTTTTTAAAATATACATTTTATTTATTTTAATACCTAGCCAAACATTTTCACTTTCCTAATTTTTTCATCAATATTTTAAAATTCAAACTTTAGGGTGGCATAACATCCTAAATTCAGACTTACACTAATCTCAAATGGCTTAGGGGTGTGTGTGTGTGTGTGTGTGTGTGTGTGTTCTGGAGCTACTTTTATAACCCAAGCCAAAAATTTCTAAGATGGGAAGTGTTGTTTGTTGATTTGTTTTAAATTGTGGGCTAGCTGTGAAAAAATGCAGGTGGAAGAAATTCAGTGTTTGTTTCTATGGGTGCTCTACTGATATACATCTTTTTGTTCTAGGTGTTCTCTACTCTATGTATAAGGATTACATTAGACCTCGGTTCTTCAATGTGTCCAAAAAGTGAAGCTGCATACAAAAAAATAAAAGAAGGCTTCTGGAAACGATTATGAAGAATGAATTTTCAATATATAGCAAATTGTATTGCAGAAGTATTAGAGTTTTCACAGCCTGGTATAGAAGTCTCAATTGTTTAAGAAGTTGACTTCCAACCCAAGAATCATAGTCAACTCAAAAATATCCTTGATGATGTCTTTCAGAACCTAGAGCATGATTTTCTGACTTAAAATTTTTTATTTTGTGGTTAGTGACAGAAAATTATCTATTTTATGATGAACCAACCTTAAAATTAGGAGTTAGCTATCCATAGTGGCTACAGAAATTTTCTATATCCATATCAAAAGTGACAATCTATTCATTGCTTAATTCTCCCCAAATAACTAAGGCTTTCATAAACTCGTTTTTAGAATGGGCAACAATTACATCAGAAGAGAATGGCCATGCTATTTAAATATGGTTCACCACTGTGCACCTCACCCTTACACAGAAACGTGACTATTCTAAAAAGATGTATTAGACTGTGTTGAACTCATAACTGTCATGACTCAGATTTACTCCCTTCACACTCCATGCCTGACAGAGAAAACGAACAGCCTGACCAGCACGGTTCAGTGGGTGAGTGTTGACCTATGAACATGGTTCGATTCCCAATCAGGGCATGGTCAGGGCGTGGTCAGGGCGTGGTAAGGGCGCAAAGTCCACAGCCCAGGTTGTGGGCTCGATCCCCAGTGGGGGAGGAGGGAGCACATGCATAAGGGAGGTAGCCAATCAATGATTCTCTCTCACCATTGATGTTTTTATCTCTCTCTCCCTCTCCTCCCTCTCTTAAAATCAATAAAAAAAAATTTTTTTAAAGAGATTCACTGAAATAAAATCAAGAATGCACCGTAAGCCCTGCCAGTGTTACTTAGTGAACTAGGGGGTCATGGTTCGATTCCCGGTCAAGGGCACATGCCAGACTGCCAAACCTCAGAGGGAGAGTGGAGGTAAGGGGGAGAGATCAACCGAAGGATGTGTATGCATGAATATAAGCCTAACCAATGGACACTAACACCAGGGGGGTGAGGGCATGAGTGTGTGTGTGTGTAATGGAGGGATGAGGACACATATGTACAGTAATACCTTAATCAAAAAAAAATTTTTTTAAAAGAAAAAGGGCACATGCCAGAATTGCAGACTTGATCTCCAGTAGGGGTCACGAGGGGGGCAGCTGATCAATGGTTCTCTCTCATCATTGATGTTTCTATCTCTCTCTCCCTCCTCTCCTTTATCTCTGAAATAAATATATATATAAAACAAATGAGCTGAAATGTTTAATTAGAAATGTTTTTCCCCCCACAAAACCCCAAATCAATCTTACTGAGAGAATTAAAGTAATATATTTATGCTTGAGAAAAGCAATGCAAAGTATTTATTTCTTAGAGTAGCCATGCATGAGAACTCACCAATTATGTTATCACACATGGAGAAAAGTATGCAGGATACTGATTTACCACATAAGCTTGGGTAAAGAGGGAGGACCATTGCAGGAAGACCCTATGAAGAGATAACATACAGTTCCTGGATTTGCACAATACCTCTGGGGCAAAGCTTTGGTGGCATAATATCATAATAGTTACAATTGAGAAGGCCATTTTCAGTGGCCACTGCAAGCCTTAATGCCTCACTGACAAACGCCTTTCGAAGAGTGGCATCCAGTGATGGCGCAGCAGCTGCTCTGTCACAACTGCAGGCCGTCCTGGGTTCCGTCGGACTCATCGTATGCTGTTTCGTGGTTACGTCGCCACCTCCCGTTTATTTATAATAAAAAAAAGTTCTGTCATTTCGATGTATGTACCTATGTGCTTTATGTTTTTTATTATTTACTTACCACAGTAAAGGTCAGGAATTGTTATCTATCTTTTAAATTTTTTTTACTATTTCACTTCTGTGTGTGTGTGCTCCATGTGAGTGACATAGGTGCTTACGTAGGTGGGTTCCGACTTAGGCTGAAAATCATGTTACGTTGTGCAGTAGAAACAGATCTCTAACGTAACCCGAGGACCTACTGTATTTAATCCCATTTATTTACTTATTTATTTATATTTTACATTCTGGGCATACAATGTCAGAGCATCATTTTACAAATTGACTTAAACCCTAGGGCACATGTGTCAAACACAAGGCCCGCGGGCCAAATCCGTCCCGCCAGGCCTTGCAATGTGGCCCGCACCGCGCTGTCATCACTGCACTCCACTGCGTTTCCATCACAATGACAGTTTATGACTGTTCAGTAAACCATTCGGCCCGCGATTTAGGCTGGATTTTAGATTTTGGCCCCTTCTCTGATTGAGTTCGACACCCCTACCCTAGGGATTGAGTGTATTCATCTAGACTATTCTTCAAATTAAACATATTACCTGTATATGCACATAATAAATCCAGATTTTTAAATCATAAATTAGAGAACGGTTGAATGTTCTTAACTTAGCAAAAAAGTTTACTCAAGACACATTCTTTAGACATCAATCTCTTTAACTGGTTTTAGCATGATTCAGTTTGCTTTATTATCAAACTAGAGGCCCAGTGCATAAAATTTGTGCAGGGAAGGGTGTCCCTCAGCCCAGCCTGCACCCTCTCCATTCTGGGACATCCCTCTCACAATTCAGGACTGCTGGCTCCCAACCAATTGCCTGCCTGATTGCCTGATTGTCCCTAACCACTTCTGCCTGCCAGCCTGATAATCCCCTAACCACTCCCCTGCCAGCCTGATCGACGCCTAACTGATCCCCTGCTGGCCCAATTGCCCCTAACTGCCCTCCCCTGCCAGCATGGTTGCCCCTAACTGTCCTCCCCTAGAGGCCTGGTCATCCCCAACTGCCCTCCCCTGCCGACCTGGTCATCCCTAACTGTCCTTCCCTACAGGCCTGGTCACCCCCAACTGCCCTCCCCTGCTGACCTGGTCATCCCTAACTGTCCTTCCCTACAGGCCTGGTCTTCCCCCAACTGCCTTCCCCCTGCAGGCCTGATCACCCCCAACTGCCTTTCCCTGCAGGCCTGATCACCCCCAACTGCCCTCCCTTGCAGGCCTGGTCGCCCCCCACTGCCCGCCCCTGCTGGCCATCTTGTGTCCACATGGGGGCGGCCATCTTATGTGTTGGAGGGATGGTCAATTTGCACATTATCTCTTTATTATATAGGATTTTCTAATTACAGGAGTCATAGGACCTTAAGGGTATATTTATGAATTTTTATAAACTCTAGTCTGTAATTTAGAGTTAAAGAATGAAGAAGAGCTACAGAAGCCCCCAAGTATATAATCTCTATTTAACTAACCACATCATCCTTTTATGAGTTGCAAAACAACAACAAAATTTTTTTGGCTTTTCTTTTTCCAAACATCCTCGGGGAATGTTTCTGCTGGGAAATGAAATTGTCCAGGGAGGAAAGAAAATGCAACCAATTGTTTTGAGTTGCTGTCTGTGCATAAAGAAACCAAAACAGTGAAACTCATTTTAAGTCTTTTTTTTTTTTTAAGTGAAAGTTGCTAATTGATGTTAATTTAGTTTCATTTTTAAAATCAGAACTCTAACTTGGGTTACAAAGCTACTGCTTTCATCAGAAGTTGTAAGGGCCCCTGAAGCAGAAATGAGGGGATTTTAAAATACCATCTTCGATGACCAAATCACTATAAATGAAGATAGGCAATTATTTAGATTTTTAAAAAGTCTTATTGAAAGGTACTAAGTTTTAAAATAAGAGAGAAGTCAGAAATTTAACTTTTATGTTGAAGGAAGAAAATGATGCTTAAAATCACATGAAGGCCGAAGCCGGTTTGGCTCAGTGGTAGAGCGTCGGTCTGCGGACTGAAAGGTCCCAGGTTCGATTCCGGTCAAGGGCATGTACCTTGGTTGCGAGCACTTCCCCGGTGGGGGGTGTGCAAGAGGCAGCTGGTCGATGTTTCTCTCTCATCGACATTTCTAACTCTCTATCTCTCTCTCTTCCTCTCTGTAAAAAATCAATAAAATATATTTAAAAAAAAAAATCACATGAAGGCTGCAGGGTTTACAAACTCAATGCCTTTGGGGCTGGAAGGAAATGAGTGAAGGGATGTATCCACCCTGAAGTATATACCGCTAAAATGGACAGCTCCTCATGGCCATGGCTGGAGCATCGGCCAGCACACGAAATTGTCTCGGGTTTGATTCCCTGGGCTTGAGGTCCAATCCCCAGCCACAAATGGGCATGTGTATAAGGCAACCAATCAATGTGTCTTTCTCAAACCCCCCCCCCCCCTCTTTTCCTTCCCTTTTTCTTCCCTTCCATTCTCTAAAAATCAATGGAAAATATATACTCAGGTGAGAATTAACAAACAAAAAAAGATAGCTGTGCCTTGGCTGGTGTGGCTCAATTGAGTTTCATCCCATGCATTAAAAATGTTGCCAGTTTCATCTTGCCAGTGTTGCTCAGTGGTTGAGCATCAGCCTATGAACCAGGAGGTCACTGTTTGATTCCTGGTCTGGCCACTTGCCTAGGTTGCGGGCTCAATCCCCAATGTGGGACATGCAGGAGGCAGCCTATTAATGATTCTCTCTTATCATTGATTTTTTTTCTCTCTCTCCCTCTCCCTTCCTCTCTGAAATCAACAAAAATACATTTTTTAAAATGTTGCCCATTTGATCCCCAGAGGTTGTGCAGTGCCGGAAGCTAGTTCCAGCACGTCATAATTGCAAGAATTTCATCAAAAGGTTGATGGAACTTGGGGACTCAACAAGTGCTGAGTCACATATGTTATGGCCTGCTGGAATGGCTAACGGCATTTCCCAAAATCTGAAAAGGATGATTGCTTGCTGCCAGACAGCTGAGGGCATCTTCATCTGCATGTTCTTGCTTCCAGCTGGCCAAACACCTAAACAGCCGAAGGCAATTCCCCAATCTGACAATGCTTCTGTACAAAACCCTACCCTTTGATGTGTATATCTCCACCTTGCCTTAGGACAGTTTGCGTTAATAAAAAGCAAGGGGTCCTGAGACAAGGAGAACTTGGTTTCTTTAGCCAAGCTCCTCTGCTCCCACATATGCCTTCAAAATTATGTTTCATCTCTATACTCTTATTTAAACACAGCCCCTTCTCCAAATTCCAGAACCCTTCTAGATGCTGGATCAAGACCCACCAGCATTAGTGCAGGAGGCAGCCGACAGATGTTTCTTTCCCTCTCTTTCTCCTTCCCTCTCCCTCTCTCTCACTAAAGTCAATAAAAACATATATTTATATATTTTTTAAATGAATAGCTGCCATTCAGTTCCAGGCAACTGCAGTCCCAGGCAGGAATGTGAACCCAGTGTTGGAAATCTTCTGATTTTACAGATAATCATGCAAACACTTTCCATTTTTAAATATTACATGTTTATTTTAAAAATTTTAAGGAAAACAATCTGGTTAGGAAGAGGGATTGCCTAACTATATAAGCCACACACAGGCTGGCAGTGTGTGACATGTGGACTAATCTTCCAAGTGCCAGTCTAGTTCTAATCTCATATTATTACTTGGTATAAATATATTGAAATAAAATGCTTAGCATTTCCTCGGAGATTCAACATTAGAAATATAAGCCACTCCTGGAAATAAGCTTTGGACCTAGAAATGATGTTGGACTGTTAATGGGAAAAGTGGGGAGAAAAGACATAGTGGGACTATACAAATTCTAGAAAGAAAGTGAATACCTCCATTATATCTTGTTGGGACTTGCAAAGTTAAATATTAGATGGTCCTTATTTTTATACCTAAACTTTGAATGTTAGAATGTACTGTATTACATAATGCAGCATGGGAAAATGATCAGAGGTTAAAGTATGGTTTCTGGCCCTGGCCAGTGTGGTTCAGTTGATTGGAGCTTTGTCCTGTGGACCAAGAGGTAGTGGGTTCAATTTCCAGTCAGGGCTCATACCCAGGTTGCAAGTTCAATCCCCAGTTGGGGTGGGTACAAAGGCAACCGATCGATGTTTTTCTCACATTAATGTTTTTCTCTCTCTCAAATCAATTTTTTTTTTAAAGTATGGTTTCTGGATCTTATTACTAGGTATTAAGTGCTTTGGAAAATACCATTATACTTCAGAAAAAAAATTCAAGAAAATAATAAAGCATACTGAGAATTAGGATTAAATATGATTGCCAAACATAAGAAATACTTCCTTTAGAAATGATGTGCTAGTACCATTAGTTGCGAAGGGTCTGGGTGATTAAAACTGAAATGAAATTTAAGCACCACTTTAAAAGTTAAGTCATTTGCCTGTTCATTCTGAAAAAGAGCATTACGCCCTTTCCCTTTTCACTTGCGATCTGATTTGCCTGAACAATGTGTGTGTTTTTTAAACACACAAAAAAATCTATTTTTATAACCTTAAAACTCTACCCAAACTGTTATGTTCAGGTCCACTTACATACATACACTTCTTACTGCCAGGAGTTCAGACACAAACCCATGGGGTGTGCAGCCATCACAGGCCAATCGACCGACTCCCGGCTGTAGTAGGACGGTGGTGAGGCGGGTGGGTCTCTGACCTACACTTAACAGCTGTCAGCTTTTAACAGTCTTCCCATGAGGAAGTCTTCGCATTTTGTTCAAGACATTTGAACAAAACTCACCTCTGAACTAACAGAGATGTGTAAAGGGGCACTTGGGCTACGAGAAAACGGCTCTTCTACAGTCTTCGCAGCCGTCCGTCATCTGGACGCAAGGGAGTCGGCGTCCACGGCGTTGAGAAGGTAGAGTTCGGGCTGGCCCGTCAATCCCACATGGTACTAAGGACAAAAAGATGGAAAGGGTTAGACTGACTTGCATTTAAATATTAAAACTGACACGTATCTATAAATAGCATATCGATATATCGATATAGGCCTTTTTTTTTTTTTTTTTTTTTCCAGTACTGCTACATTTTTATTTTGGAAAAGAAATGACTTACCAATTCAGATATAAAAAAAATAGCTAGGAGCTGAAATAGTTAAGGATTGCAATAGTGCCAAATGCCCTTAGCACAGTTTGCACCTGACTGTTCTTATAACATACTTTGCCTATGGGTGGGTGCTTCTGATCAGGATATGCGGGCAAATGCACCGGCTGCTTTTCTGTTTTAGTACTGTGTGTCAGAAATCAACTTTCAAATGGTCTAAAGCCTAAGCCCCATTACCCTTCGGCTCCTGAGCAAAGTCTTTCATTACACACACACACACACACACACACACACACGCACACAAAACGGCTGAGAGAGAGGGAGATGACCTATGGTTCCCAACTGTCAGTCTGAATCAGAATCACTTCGGCTGCTTTCACAGCACACGGCAGCCCCTTCTCCTGCAGACCCAAATCCAGATGGTTTGTGTTGGGGTCTGTGACGCTGCATGAACTTTTTCTCTCCTCTCCATACACTGCGATAATCACTGAGTCTAATTTAGCCCTATCATTGCTCCGGGCTTTGGAAATGTTCTTGCCCTTTGGCACTAGCAGCCTGTGAGAGAATGCAGAACGCAGACTGTAAATCCGTAGGAAGAAAAGGCTCCTGCTATAGTGGGAAAGGCACTGGCTCCAACTCCGCCACTTCCCATGACCTTGGGCGAGTCAGGTGCCTTTCGGAAGTCAGGTACCTTATCCTACTGATTTGTAAAATGGAAATAAATGCTACCTTTGCAAATCCCAAGTACATAATATGCCATCTCGTGTTAGTGTTCAATAAGTATGATTGCTTTTAACATGTTACCAATTGCCCTGTACACCTCGCAGGCTTGTGGTGACTGCCTAGAGCCCAAGACAAAACTAGTCTCAACTGACGGGCCAGGTAGGAACTACTGAGTCACGCTGGCCGGGGGGCAGAAAATCAGCTCTTCAGGAATAGCTTGTTCGTTCACTGTAGGATTTAACATCTCAGGGTTTCCTAATCCAGAGCAATTGCCAGATATATTGACAATTCACTGCACCCTGTTCTCAATGAGCTAAGGTGGTGGGCCTCCTAGGGAGTAAACAGGATTGCATTATTAGTCCTATATCCCAGTGTATCACGTACAGAACTTCGCTAGCAGTTTGTCATACTGCTCTGCGACATTGAGAAATGGGGCTAAATGGCACATAATCTGAAATACCCTCTCAGGGGCAGAGAGGTGATGCAAATGAGTAAACTTACTATTAGTTCTTAGCTACTGCTGGGGTGGGATCATAGAGGGCCCGCCCAGTTTCTACACCTGCCAAAAACGTTACTTTTTTTTTTTTTACTTAGCGCAGGCCAAACAAAATTACCGTAGTCTGCCAGTTGGCAACTTGTGAGCTAAAATATATTGTGATACTAATCCGAGTATCAAGCAAATGCTTCCATGTGTTGATGTTTCTTGTGCTTTTAACCACCGAAGCTTGGTGTCTTAAACTCACACAAAGAGTGTACTATGTATTACATAGGATGGTTTGGTAATGATAATGTAGGCCCTGCAGTTAAGCTCTTCAAGTTCAAATGCCAATTGCCCTTTAGCAATTATAACTCTGGGAAGTTATTTTTGCCTTTCAGTTGCCTCACCTATATAGAAGTTGATCCTCTTGTTAAGAGAATTAAGTGAGATTATGAGTGCTTGGAGCAGGACTAGAACATAGTGTTAGTCGCTTTAAACATTAAGAAGCTAAGGAAGGTGTCAAGAGAGGCTGACACATTCTGATTCACGGTCCTACCAAGGAAGGAGCAGAGAGTAGAGTTCTAGAGAGCAATGTTAAAGGTTCTTGGGTCCACTGAGGATCTTCAGATTGTTATGCATCCTGAAATTAAACCCAAATGAAGAAGAGAGAGCTAAATGAGATAGGACAACAGAGAGAACGAAACTCCCAGATTACTTCTACAGCATAACCGAAGTGTTTAGCTCTTGTAAGACAGGGAAAGCTTGCAACGGAAAAAGGGAGAATGAAGTTCTGGTGACCCTCTTGGGACAAATGAAATGCTTAGATTTTCCCGTCAGGCGTCGGTGGCAGGGCGGGTAGTTCACTATGCCTGAACTTGTCTTTGTTTTCACTAAATGGTGCCAACATTTCCATTTATATGGAGTCTGCCAAAATGCTCACTTTAAAAAAAAAATGTTTTTATTTATTTGTTTTGCAAGGGAGAGGGAGATAGAAACATCAAGAGAGAAACATGATGGATCGGCTGCCTCCTCCACACCCCCTACTGGGAATTTAACCCAGAACCCAGACATGTGCCCTGGCTAGGAACTGAACCAGTGACCTCTTGGTTCTTGGGTCAACGCTCAACCACTGAGGCACACTGGCCAGGATCACTCCTTTTTTTAAGATAAGAAATTTTGGTTTCTCTTTTCAAATATTCCTACTTTTTATTGGCAGTATATACAGAATATAAATGCCTATTTCAATGGTGAAACAAGACTACAGTTAGAAAAATGTTCAGTTTAGAGCACAGAAAGGCAGAATAAGTTTCTTATTTAAATACTAAAGGCCCAGTGCATGAAAGTTGTGCACTCAGGGGGTGGGGATGGGGGTGGGGAGTCCTTCAGCCCAGCCTGTGCCCTCCCCCAGTCTGGGAGCCATTGAGTGTCTGCCCCCTGGTGGTCAGTGTGTATCACTGTGACCAGTTGTTCCACTGTTCAATTTGCATATTGGCCTTTTATTATATAGGATGGTAGTGATGTGACCTTTAGCAATAGCAAAAACATTTGAATATGTGGGTGAACAGAAATTAGTGTTTGGTGTCTGCAATTCATCAAGTTAAGGATTAAACCTACTAGTATTTATTTCTCTATCCCTTTTAAAGAGGGAATAAGAACAGAGTGGGCTTAATACGTCATTCCAGGGGATGGATGAAGTCTCGATATTTCAGTTCTTGAGGCCCTTCTTAATAGTGTTTGTAAGGTTAAAAAAATACCCAGGAAACCAAATTGAAAAAAGAAAAATGTTTTTAATTACAAACCAAGTTTACATATTGTGAAGAGGTCACTGAAAACTCAGTTGTAAGCACTCCGAACAGCACTAGACAACCTCTCAAGAGCCAAACCACAGCTCTGCCCGTCCCTGTTAATCCCTCAGAGGCTGGAGCAGCACAATTATTTCATATCACATTTATGGAGAACAAGGACCGATTGACAAAGTGTCACTGTGTACCCTTAAACATTCCACCTAGAGACACTGCCGAGACAATGCGTGTGCCGGCACCGGAAAACCTCAAAGGTCTGAACGCCGTGCACTGTGCCCGAGTGCTGGCTGAAGTGCACTCCTGAGACGATCAGATGGACCACCGCATGGGAGCTGTTAACACTGTGACACATTCCGCACACGTATGATAAAGTACCATTTCACTGGGAAGAAATTTTCCAATTTTGCAAGTCGTAAATACAACTTTGAAAGGAAAACTGCCAGTTTTTCCCTGGACTTCTAAATATTTGTGAATCTGAGACTGATTGGGCCCACCAGATTCAGGGCAAAGGTAAATGTTTCTGTACTGTTTTTACAAAGAATTTTTTCGTCAATTTGGCCCTCGCCTACTATAGGCAGACCTACAGCAGCCTAAGGTGTCCTTCTTCGGTATCTTCAGGACGGATGGGATGAGGAAAGGTTGGGGAAAGGTGTCTTTCATGATACTGAGCAGCTAAGATAAAGGTATGGTCAGTGAAACAGTTGTTCACCTTAGTGACTTACAAAAGACAATCTATCCAGTCTGTACTTTTGACTGTGCCAAGTACCAGCAATAATGCCTTTAGTGTTCAAATGGACAGAGAACATCAATCCACCATATCTCCAGAAGGAAAGCCCCACCTCCCAAAGAAGTTATTCAATGCCGTTCCCATTTCTGTCCTCACCAAATCAACAGCTATAAACGACTTGATTATCTGCATCACACAAATGTAAATTGATATTGGAGATATCACAGAGTCGGTCTCCACGTGTAAAATGTCGCAAGAGGTGATGAGCAGCAGCTTCATGCTGAAGGGAGCCATCTCCTCTGACTCCAGAGCTCCTCCAGCTGGCCTCAAAAAGTTTTTCCCTCTTAGGGAACGGCTGAAGAGAACTGTGCAACCACCATGATACCCTACCGACTTGCTGAGCGCGCGCTTGGCATCGGTTAGGTCCACAGCTCCGCGGCTGCCTTGCAAGCCGGCGTGGGCACACTTCGGCAGACGTGCCGATGCTGTAGGTGGCTCTTAGGAATACAACAGATGCTTCTTCTCCTTTCAGGTCTTTTCTCCTTACCCCAGAGTCTCATGACAGCTTCAGTTTATAAATGCTACCATCTTTCTAAATCACCACCCTCCTGGAGGAGGGAGAGGTTTACAACTATATGTGAGTGAGAGTAAGTATCAAGAAAGCTGTGTATTAACATAAAAGTGACTCAAGTCAGGACTCCCAAGAAAATCCTGGTAAGTGCTCAGTCTCTGAGGAAAATCTTCTAAGTGATTTTCGAGGTGATCAGTAACCTTACAGATGAGTTTTGCTATTTGTCCATTTATCACCTTTATGTTTTCTCACCCTCTTGACTTCCACTGAGAAATTTAAAGAATAAATAAACTGAAAGAATTCTAAACCTGACAGAGGTGGTGGTCTCCCAATTCTACATTTAATATGGATGTAACCACTCTAGTTGAGATTTTACTTTCTTATAATTAAAATAATTGAAAGGGTATGCACAAGTATTTCTCAGCCTTTTAAAATCCATTATCTTTTAACAAACAAATCTGCATACCCATCGTGTACTTCTGTTATGAAATGTACTGCATTTTCCAATTCCTTTTTAACACATGGCCTGGTTAAGAATCACGTACAGAGACTTATCTCTCAGAAGGATAAAATAAGCTGGCTCTTCAGCAGCTCAGTGTAGTGTTAAAATGACAGCAGCCAATAGCTTTCCAAAGACCCAGTTCCCAGGCTAAGTCAGGAAGAAAATCCATCTTTCATACATAGTGCAAGTCTTTCCCAACAAGCATCTGAATCCTAAATGCAGTCTGTGCAACAGCACATACTTTTGTCTATGTTCACACAGTAAACCATAGAAACACACTGGCTCTGATGGCTCCCTGGACCAGACAGACTGATCCAGGGTCTACTTAGTATAGTCATCGGCGGCTTCTTCAGTCAGGACTTTAGAGGTGCTTACCGTGCTCCCACACTCCAGGAAGGACATGCCCAAAGCAATCAGACATTGCCAAATCTGAAAGAGAAAGCAGCGCCATCATTCACCAACCCCTCTGAAGAGCCCTCTTACCCATGTGACTGCTCAAAACCGGGCTCCTCAGAGGCAAGCCCGCTCTCTTCCGTGACACCCAGCTTTGCCTATCTTCTATCACCAAGTCATTCCCATCCCCACCCCCCTTCAAAATACCCTGGAATCTCCTTTTTCATCCAGGTTTCCACACTAGTGACAATGCTGAGCTCCCTCTGCTCCTACTGCTTGGTGTTTGCAGTTAGTTTCTTTTATCGGACTTGGAGTTCCCTAAAGACCACTTTTCTTCATGAGGAGGGGCACGAATGACAGACTAATACAACTGAATAGTCTCCGAAATTGTTCTATGAAGCGTATGTTTTGGAGCTAACCCGCAGTAACCCATTCCAGCCTTAAAAAAACAGTCTTCAATAATCTCAAGTCTCGGGCTGCCTGAGGACAACTTGGCACCTTCATGACCAACATGCATAAAGGATTCCTTTACCTTCTACAGAAAATTTTAAAAACAATTCCTGTCAAGGACATAGTCAGCTGCTTGGATTTCCTTAGAGTAAGTCCCTATAACATATATAGGGTCAGCATGATTTTAGTGTGCCTAAGGTTTACCGGAGAGCAAAAAAAAAGGGGATGTATCAATTCAGGACATCGTTTTTCAACATTCACTAAAGTGATTTTTCTCCATCAACCTGTGGCAGACATTGGCATGTGGACTAGGTTAATTGTGGATTTCCAGCCTCCATCCTTAACCATTCTCAGCAGATAAGGTATAAATTCTGCTGTCCCTGATCCTCAACCCTTGTGTGTTTCAGAGAAACCTGTATAGAACAGGGAAGTGGATTTGAAGTTGCTGCTATAGTCATTTTTCATTAATATAAATAATGCTATAGATTTGGAAAATAAAAAAATAACATATCCATAATCCCATTATCTTAAGACAAGTACTATTACCATTTTTATATAATTTACTCTAGAATTTTGAAAAAAATTTTACTATCTGGGTACACATAATTCTACATTCCTTTTCTATGTGGTCTTAGAACCATCACTTTTTATTAATTCTAAAATAATGCAATGTGATTTATAACTTATTTATTTTCTTACTAGACAGCTATTAAGTAGCAGAGCAGGGCTGTGAACCCACATGATCCACCCCAAAGCTCTGAAATCACACCGCACAGCCCCTTTCTCCAACCCCATTTTGCTCCACTCTTTGCTTTCCAGACTGATCCTCTTTGTTTAGTTCCTACACTCTCCTGTTAGGAATTATTAAGAATGGAAACTAAACAGAAGTGACAGAAATAGAAAGATGATCGCTCTTAGGAACCAAACTTTATGATTATAAATAATGTTTATAACCAAAAAAGTGTGTAAGTGTGTGTGTGTGTGTGTGTGTGTGTGTGTGTGTGTTTTGTGTACACTGAGTGGCCAGATTATTATGACCACCCCATCAGTACTTTGTTGGGCCACCTTTTGCCTTCAATACTGCAGCGATTCTTCTTGGCATTGACTCCTCGAGATGTGGAAAGGTGATGGAAGGAATCTGACACCATGCCTGATGAACAGCACTGTCTGGTCTGTGAGAGTTGATGGCTGTGGAACTAGCAGCCTGATGGCTCTTTTAACTTTTTCCCACAAATGCTCAATGGGATTGGGATCTGGTGATTGTGGGGGCCACCTAAGCAAGGTAGTCTCCTTTGTGTTCTTGAAACCACTCCTGCACAATACGAGCACCATGGCATGGTGCATTGTCTTGTTGGAAGAAGCCATCTCCATTGGGATACACCATCAACATGATAGGATGAACTTGATCAGTAGTGATACTTAGGTATGTTGTGCTATTCAGACATTGTTCCACACGAATTAAAGAACCCAAATTATGCCAGGAAAACATGCCCCAAACCATAACACTGCCCCCACCAGCTTGAATGGTTGTATTTATGCATGTGGGTTGCATGCTTTCATGCTGTTTCCACCAAATTCTCACTCTGCCATCTGCATGATGCAACTGGAAACGTGATCCATTGGACCACACGACTTTTTTCCAAGGCTCGACTATTCAATCCTTGTGTTTCTGTGTGAATTGGAGACGCTTTACCTTGGTAACAGCAAACGTGTTCAAATGGGCCTTCAGCTTCAATATCCCATACGATGCGGTATACGGCTAGTTCGCCTACAAACGTCGGGTGGTCATAATAATCTGGCTGTGTGTGTGTGTGTGTGTACAGTTTAAACATAGCTGATTTAACAATTTCATGAAAATGATCTCAATAAGCTGAAGATTGATTGATAGGTGCTCCTTTGGGTGCTTCCTAATGTTAGTCAGCCCCACGCTGCCATCCCGATACCTATGCCCCTGCCCCTCCCAACTGGACTTACCAAGTAAAATACGAAGCTCAGATAAACCAAACTGACCACAGCAGCCACCACATACAGAACCATATGCCCAAGACTCTGGACATAAATCACGACAAAGTACATGTTGATAGCGCAGATGACAAAAACCAAGATCCCGCCTGCAATCCTCCAGCCTCTGCAAAAGAATCAACACCGTCAGTGGTGGAACAGCCCCGCCTGTCCACGCAGAGCAGGGCGCTGCGTCTTGTGGGGCAGACCGGGCAGGAGTAAGCAGCATTTCAAAACAGGTGTGCTCCCTATCAGGTACCCTCAGCCTCCCCCGCAGGCGTGTGCCCCCTGCCTCGAAGGGACCCCAAAAGACCTGCAACCAGGGGAGCAATGGGCAGCGTCAGCGCCTCGCAGACAAATCCCCACACCTGTCTCCAAGGCCCCCTTTTCTCTGACTTCTAGTGAGTCACCTGGGTGCTCTCCTGTTGCTTCTTCCATCCTAAACCCTTCCTTGTTTCATCTTCCCAGCTTTAATAAATGTACTCTCAAAAAAAAATAAAAAAATAAAACACACAACAAAACAAAAAATTACCCCAGATTTAGTTAAATAAGCCAAAATTAGACAGAGAGACAAAGAGAGGGGAAAAAATACTATCAAATAACCTCTATTATTCAAGTCCCTAAAAATGCAACAAATCACGAGTGTCCCTAGAGATCCAACAAGTAATTTCAACTACTCTCATATCTGTTAAAGATGTGGCTGAAACTGAATTGGCTCAATGGATAGAACGTCGGTCTGTGGACTGAAGGGTCCCAGGTTCGATTCCGGTCAAGGGCATGTACTGTGGTTGCGGGCACATGCCCAGTGGGGGATGTGCAGGAGGCAGCTAGTCGATGTTTCTCTCTCATCGATGTTTCTAGCTCTCTATCCCTTTTCCTTCCCCTCGGTAAAAAAATAAAAATAAAATAAAAATAAAAAATAAAAAAAATAATAATAATAAAAAGATGTGTATGTAAGGTATTAGCTTACACCCTTCTTATTCCGGTCATTAATATGAAATTAAGTCACTTTACACTTCAGCCCTGGCCAGTGTGGCTTAGTTGGTTGGGCATCGTTCTGTGCCCTGAAAGATGGCTGCTTTGATTCCTGGTCTGGGCACATGTTTGGGTTACAGGCTCAATCCCCAGAAGGGGGTGTGCAGGAGGCAGCTAATTGATGTTACACTCTCACATCAATGTTTCTCTCTTTCTCTCTCCCTTTTCCTTCCTTTTTCTCTAAAAAAATCAATAAAAAGTATTTATAAAAAAGATGCTTTAGCCCTGGCTGGTGTGCTTGGTGGTATCGACCCATGCATCAAAGGGTCAGGGTTTGATTCCTTGGTCATGGGCACATACCTGAGCTGCAGGTTCGATCCTCATCCCCAGTCGTAGCATGAGGGAGGCAACCAATTCATGTGCCTCTCTCATATCCATGTTTCTTTCTCTCTCCTTCTCTCCCTCCCTTCCACTCCCTCTAAAAACCAATGGGGAAAAAAATATCCTCAGGTGAGGACTAACAAAAAAGTAAATAAAAAGATGGTTTATACTTCAGTGGCTGAAGTAAAAGAGTTAAAAGCTCTAGCCTAGCCCTAGCTGGTTTCGCTCAATGGATAGAGCATTGCCCTGCAGACTGAAGGGTCCTGGGTTTGATTCCAGTCAAGGGCACAAGCCCAGGTTGTGCTCAATCCCCAATGTGGGATGTGCAGGAGGCAGCCAATCAATGATTCACTCCCATCATTGATCTCTCTCTCTCCCTCCCTCTCCCTCTCCCTCTCCCTCTCCCTCCCTCCCTCCCTTCCTCTCCCTTCCTCTTCTAGGTCAAAGATTTGAGGAGGCAGTGCTAGCAACCACCCCCAGCCTCTAGGACTCGTCTTTTGACTGGCCTACTCAATGGAGACATCCTCCCCACAGCTTTGGGGAACTGAGAGGAGCACACTCACATTCCATTGGCAAAGTCAGTCATTACTGGCCGCAAGCTCGTAAACGTGAGGATGGGTATGAGAGCAAAGGGAAGCTGGAAAAGAAAAACCCAAGATCAGATGGGGCTCCCGGGGGTCCCTGTGTCACCCCAGAGAGAAGCACTATTAGTGAAAGGGAAACACAGACTGTGACTCACTTACTCTATAAAAAATTATTCTTATCATCCCAAATGCTCAAGCATTATTTTCAAATTGCACAGTTATCATTGACCTAACATCAATTATGATCATAAGGTTCTTTACAAATATTTGTTTCTGCCTTGTCTTAACCTGCCTAGGACCTAGCAGTGTCCTATATGTCATTTAATATTTTCTTGGCTTAATCAATAATAATTTTGTATCCTATATGCAATTATAATTGCCTTTCAATAGGCTTTAAAAAAAAAAAGAAAAGAAAGTAAGTTATTTCTAAAAGCCTTTTGGATGCCAGGGATTTCACACACATTTACTGCAGACCAAGACCATGCCTTGCTCTTCCTCTAAAATTTTCACAGCACTTGGCACTCGGCTTGGTACCTAGGGCAGTCCATAATGCGACCTCACCTGTAAGCTCTGCAGAACATTGAGGAAGTCATTCATCCCGGTTAGATGTTCTACATCTTGGAAGACAGCAACCAGCAGAGTCGGGATAATGGCAATAGAGCGGGTCAGAATCACTCGGGCAAAGCGTGACCATCTCAGGTTCAGGAATCCCTGGAAGAAAACAGAAACAGAATGAGTGTCGGGAACAGGAAACTAAAAAGTTTTGGGGAGATTCAGGAAGACCTTAAACGCATGGGATTAATACGTAACAAAAGGCCAATGTCCCCTTCCTCTAGACCAGCGGTCGCCAACCGGTCCGCAGACCGCTGGCGGTCCGGGGAGCTGAGAGGCTGGCGACCGCTGCTCTCGTCTGTACCAGTCAAGCAGCACCTACCTCCATGACAAACTGGCCAGAATAGGTTCCTGTCATGGTGGAGCTCTGCCCTGCGGCCAGGATCCCCACGGCCCAGATGTAGAGCGCTGCAGGCCCGAAGTAACAGCCCAGCACAATGCCCTGGGGAGCGGGAGGGAGAGGCAGGGTGTGTCAGTGAACTGTCCACATGTGTCAAACACAAGGCCCGCGGGCCAAATCCGTCCTGCCAGGCCTTGCAATGTGGCCCGCACCGCGCTGTCATCACTGCACTCCGCTGCGTTTCCATCACAATGACAGTTTATGACTGTTCAGTAAACCTTTCGGCCCGAGATTTAGGCTGGATTTTCGATTTTGGCCCCTTCTCTGATTGAGTTCGACACCCCTAGTTTAGACAATACCCGAACAGCACGCCTCTCTTCTTTGCTATGCACCCAGCTAAACCCAGGGCTGTGCAGAGCACGGAGTTAGCTCAACTCAGTCCTAACTTCATTCCAAAGCTTTCAACCTAAATTTTGCTGGATGGTCCTTCATTCCTTAGCCTAGTCCTTTCTCTTCCCCAAGCTCCTAAAGCCTTCATTCTCAACCTACACCTGAAATATTAATAAGATTAAAAAAAAGTCTACACTATAGTTACCAAATTATACTGCTTAACACACTATTTTAGAAAATAGGAGTGTATGCTACATCATACACATTCTACCCCTGGAGGTTCACGATGTAACCAATAGAAAAGGGCCTGAGCCCCAACGAACACCAGTTTACCAGCTACACTTTCTCCAGGTGCCCCAGTTAACACCGGTACAACACTCTACTATCAGCACAAGCTTGGGAACTGCTGAAACAATTCATTTTTTTTTAGCTGATCCTTTAGTCTTTCTGTGTAGTCCAAAATGCTTGCCTAGCATCTGGACTCTGAAATAAATGACACTCCACAGGGAGCTATGCTTAGCTCTGAAGCGGACCTACAGAAAAGACCAGCTACTAGGCCAAGAATATTGATTGACCCAGAGCCCAAGAACACGAATCTGAATGGTTACCCCTTTGAAGATGTCCACAGCCAGTGTCGAGTTATCATCAGGAATAAGGCCAGTATGGGGGCTGCTGCTGTTTTTACAGACTTCAATCTGGAAAAGAAAGCAGTTTGGGAGCAACTTTTATTTTCGAGGCATGGGCCAGAGAACAGCTCTCCCGCGGATCACACGCAAGTCATCTATGCGACACAGCCTGGAGGCTAGACTGGGCGCTGCAGGCTGTGATGGGCAGACACGGGGCAAGTATCACTTGTGCTCTTCCTCTGTAATCTTTCCCCACGTCATTAACAAGATTTACAGAGTCAGAGTGTGCGCTGTTGGGTCATTTTAAATGACAGGAAAGGAGGACCCTTAGGAAGGCTTCAAATATGAGAGGACACCGGAACAGGGAGTCCTTAGTCCAAGCAGTCAGGCATCTGAGGTTCTATACATGGAAGCAAAGTGGTGATCAAAACTGGATAGGCAACCAGGAACTAAGACAGAATTCAAAATGACAACAGTCTGTCTTAGCAACAGTTTCTGTTTTGTTTGTTGCCTCCTCCCAACCTATCCTCAATCACCAAATGGCAGGACTGGCAAGCACACGGGCAGCTGATAAACAGGAAACAAAAGGCTAAGGAGATGTGAAACCACTAACAACACAGCACGAGGCAATCTTTAGCTCGGGGCAATCTCCCATCTGAGCCAAAAGCAGAGGAAAGGAGTTAGGCTTTCAGCCGCCAGGATGCACACCCTGACTAGTGCAGACTTAGGGGACGGTATTGAGGCCACAGATCTACTGTCTTAGATCCAAGTCGTTGTCATATTTTCCTACCCCGTTCCGGCCTTCACATTACCCTCACATCCACTACCACTCACGATCCCGGCTTACTCACCACCTGCTGGTTGGTTTTCTCAAAAAATGCTTCGGCAAAGACTGAGACGACGAAAACATTGATGATGAAGGAAACAAAGAGAGCAATGCAAGATTCAATGAAAAAGTACTTATTGGCTTCTCGAACTTCCTGCTTTTTGGCTCGGTTCACCTGTCTGGACTGGAGAGAAAATAGCATAGTCATTTATTTATTTTTTTAACTATTTGGAACAAGTTTCCTTGTAATATTTCAAGAGTTTAGAGACAACTGAAAGGTTTAGAGGGCAACAAAGGACCAGGTGAAACATGAGAGAATTGCTTACATTCGTGTTCACTAAGCACTCCGTGACCCTTGGATGACACTGCACATTCCTCAAACAGGTAAGAGAGACTAAGTGATTCCTGAGCTGTTATTGTGGCTGGAAGAACCAAACACACAGGCAAAAAAACCCCAAGCTGTCCTAACAAGTGCATAACCTTAATTATAGAGGTCTCTGAAATTTCCCAGAAAACTATTGTGTAAGACTGATGGGTAAAAGGTTAGTGGGACTCTTGACTCCTGACCTCCTTAAGGCCACTCAGGGCTTTGAGATTAAAACACAAGAGACTCGGTGTACTTTCTGACCTTTTATGAACAACTTTAGTTCCCGTTTCTGTGGGGTCAGTTATCTCTGGTCATAAAACAGAGTCCAAGTGTGGAGTTTGTAAATCTAACCATGGAAAAATACCTTGCTCCTTCAAGTTCTAACAGCTGTAAACTAAGTATGTGCCCCTTGAACCGAAGGAAGACATCTCATGGCCTATCTGGGAGGCCAGTGAGGTGAAGGCCTTGCTCACCTTGACTAAGGCAGAGTGCAGGTACATGTTGTGTGGCATGATGACAGCTCCCACGATGCCCACAGCCTGCTGGATCTGTGGGGTGCCGCAGCCTGAACAGGATGGCAGGAACATGCCCTTGAGTACCTCGCTCTGGTTGGGTCTCACTGTAATATACTGAATACCAACATAACAACGATTAGCTTTCACTGGAATATGAGACCGAGGAAGTAACAGTACTAGGAAACACTGAGCATACTTCCTCCCTTCCTTATAACTCCTCCGACCTCAACAACTACCTAGAACAACGAGGAATGCAGAAGCATCGCAAACCAAGCAGCATAAGGGGCTTGCTGCCAGAGACCAGAGAATTCAACACTGGGGTACCTGAATATTTTGCCTCATTTTTTAGATATACAAAATAGATATGTAAAAAAAAAAAATAGATATGTAGAAAATGTAATTAATATACTAAAGAAATGAAATAGCTGAGCCCTCGCCAATTTGGCTCAGTGGGTAGAGCGTTGGCCTGTGGACTGAAGGGTTCATTTCGATTCTGGTCAAGTGCATGTACCTCAGTTGCAGGCTCTTGGCACTGGTCAGAGGCATGTGGGAGGCAACCAATCAATGTGTCTCTCTCACATCGGCGTTTCTCTCTGTCTCTCCCTTTCATTCTCTCTACAATCAAGGGGAAAAAACCCTTGAGTGAGGATTTAAAAAAAGAAAGAAATGAAATGGCTGATAAAGGCCTTATTGATATTAATTTCATAATAACTCCTATAAGCCAGACCCAAGAATACAGTCCATTCTTAATTATTCAAACTTATGTCTCTAATCAGCTATATTCATCTAAAAATCAGTGTTTGCCATTAGCATAAGCTGAATCATTCATAAACACTTTTCACACATATTTTTTTCCTGGTTCAGCATTTCTCTTGAAAGCCTTAGACCAAGCTATATAATCTACTCATAGATTAGATATAATTTTAAAAGTCTAGCCAGGCCAATAAACAGCTATCAGGTAAACCGGATATAGTTAAGGCATATAATGGTACTGATTCCTAGGAGTGTCTGGGTTGGGGCACAAACCAGGAAGCATCCACCACATCCCTATAGTTGCAATGCAGAAAAGTTCAAGCTGCAGTTGGTATAAACCAGAATGAGCAAAACAGACCCCTCTAAGTTAACAGCCAAGAAGTACCCTATAACCCTCTAACCCTCTCCAAAGCTGTTCCATTGTCCAGATGGCCAATTTGAAACCAGGGGCTGTAGTCTGGAAAGTCCTAGAAAGTTTGTCATTTATTTTTTGCCATCACCATTTATTCCCTCTATGCCCTCCACCCACCTTCTAGTCATCCTATATAACAATCCTATTTAATAAAATACTTAATATGCAAATTGACCGAACGGCGGAACAATCGGTGGAACAACGGGTAACTATGATGCACATTGACCACCAGGGGGAAGACGCTCAATGCAGGAGCCCCAAGGCAGGTGCCAGTGGGCCTCCCCCACTCCTCGATCACCTCACTGGTTGCTCCACAGAGGGAGATGACTGGCAGCGATGGAGGGGGGCAGGGCTGGTGAACAGACAGCACCAGGCTGGCCAAGGCAGGTGCCAGCTGGGGACCCTGACTGCCCCAGCGGTCACCCCACAGATCAGTCCTGATCACTGGTCAGGCCTAGAGACACTACCTGTGCATGAATTTCATGCAGCGAGCCTCTAAATTTTTGACATAGGAGTCCTGCAGACCTTCCTGGACACTAGTCTTTGCTATGAATAATATTCCTTCAAAACTGGCCCAAGACTTAACTGGCTTCTTTTTTTCTTTCTGCTTTTACTTTATAAACATTTTTTATTTTATGCTGAATTTACTCTTGGGCCATAAGTTTTGTTTCCTCAGTTTATTCTGGGATATCTGTTTTCTTCTGTGCAACCTCCTCTTCTGGTTTAAAAACCACCCGCTTTTTCAGTAAGAATCATCTGTGTGGCAGGGAGAGCTCATGTGTGGGATAATCTGTAAGTTCTGTACCACATCTTGGGAGCTTTGTTAACCTAGATGTGCTCAGTGTCCAGAGATTACACATCTAAATCCTTAAATTCAACATCATTCTCTGGCTTTTTAAGCATGTGCAACAAAAATTCAGCGCTCTTTTTTGGGCCACCAACCCTATGTCCACCCCACTGTATGGCCTGGGAACACCTACCAACTCCACCAATGTCACGACAGAATGCTTTGGTAAGGTGACAACCTTCAGACACGTGATGGGCTTTTCAGATATGCATACCCCAGATGGCCTGGGCAATTTCACGAATGTTCTTAGAGTGAACCCAAAAATCTGAACCTCTTAATTTGCATGATTTTGTATGATTTCTGGGTCAAGTCAATAGCAAACTATTTCCATATGTCACTTCTGCTACTTATAAGAAGAGGAAGCAACTGTTTTTTTCTTAGCATATGCAATACAATTGAACCATCCTAGCATTATTTTGTCTTTTATAATAAAAAAATAATTTGTTTGTTTGTCTTGAAAAGATAAATAGCCTGGCATACTTGCCTCATAACCAAAAGTGAGGGCCATAACAGTGATGAGAAAGCCAAAAAACGCTTCCAGCTTCCGCAAGCCTAAAGAGGAAAATGCAGCAGTGAGTTTACAGGAGAGTTCCCCATCAGTCACACGATGGAAAAGTAGCTTCTTTGCCTAACCCCTCCATTCCCACTCTACTTACCATATTTGTCCAAAAAGAGAAATACAAAAGTATCTGCAATGGTGATGAGAACTCCACCCCATAGGGGAACCCTAGAGCAGAGATAAGAAATGGAAATTAAAGGAAAGAGAGAGTACTTTCTTCCCAACAGCTCTCCATATGTACCACTTCTGCAGAAGCAAGGACTTGGGGAGGGGGGGGATAGCAGGGAGGGGTAGGAGGCCACCAGGCCTTGGGTAGTTTAGGATCACATGAATAATATTCACTCAAACTTGACTATCTACTAAGTCAGACATTAGGATACATAGTTGAAAAGAATGGGTCTTGCCCTGACAGGTTTGGCTCAGTGGATAGAGCGAGGCCTGCAGACTGAAGGGTCCCAGGTCCAATTCCGGTCAAGGGCATGTACATTGGTTGCTGGCACATCTCCAGTAGGGGATGTGCAGGAGGCAGCTAACTGATGTTTCTCTCTCATTGATGTTTCTAGTTCTCTATCCCTTTCCCTTCCTCTCTGTAAAACACATCAATATATTAAAAAAGAGAAAGAATGGGTCTTACCCCTCAAGGAGCTCCTTGTTTACTGGGATAAATTGGCATACAAATAACTGTAATCCACAATAATACATCCTGCATAACAGAGGTGTATATAATCCAACACGAGAACATGGAAGATAGAGAGCCTACACCTTCCAGGACAGAGAAAGGTGGTGCCAGATGGGTCCCACAGAAAATATAATAAACTTGAGTTGAATCTTAAAAATTGAAAATGAGTTGGGTTTTTGTTTTTACATTTGCTTTGAAATCTAGCAAAACACTACTTTCTAGAGGAAAATCCCCTCACCTTCCTACAGACAGGAGATTGATGGCAATGGCTGAGCCAATAACTTCTTGCATATCTGAGCCAATGATAGCCAACTCCACCATCAGCCACAGGACAATTCGTGGGACCTAAACACCAAACAGAAGGAAGACATGGTTCTAGTGAATAACTTCTAAGAATTTCCCTCATAATTTGGAATTCACATTTTGGAACTGACCCATTGGCAGTCCTTTATAAGCCTTCATTTTAGAGATAAAGACCCATCATTGCACGGTGGGCCCTCACTACAGAAGGCAAGTGTGCTTCTATGCAGTGGAGCTTATGAGTCAGGGCCTAGGCAGCAGCTCAATCCTAGTTTTTTTTCTCTTTCCTTTCCATTCAAGAGAGGAATGGAATTTCCATTCATTAATTTCCACTTAATTTCATGCCTAAAAAAACAATCCTAAGTCTTAGGGGGAAATGATGATACTAATATGGTCAAAATAACCTGTTTCCCCGAAAGACAGTGTCTTATATTAATTTTTGCTCCCAAAGATGCACTAGTTCTTATTTTCAGGGATGTCTTATTTTTTCATGAAGAATACGGTACACATTTATTGTTAAATGAAAATAAAGGAAATTTATTACCTGTATATGGTACGGTAGTACAGTAGTTGTCAACACAAACCAGACAAACTGTGAATCCTACAGTATCAAGAATTTACTCATTTATTCAATGACAATCATGTCATCATCTTCTGGAACATCATCATAACAATCCAATTCCTGAATTTCCTGGTGAATTTCTTGTGACTCCATTTCTTTTAGAATCAGTGGACCAAATCTCTCATGTTTAGCCTAGGAGGGGCCTTATTTTTGGGGCGATGCCTTATATTTCACTCAGAAGGAAACCTGTAAGTAGGTCTTATTTTCGGAGGATGTCTTATTTTCAGGGAAACACGGTACTATTCAGGAACAAATAAAAAATGTCTGAAGAAAATATTGATCCTGATTATAGCCGAAGAGACATAACAAATGTGAAAAGGCTGTGTCTTCCATTATGTAATAACAACACAGAAGTAAAAAAGGACAGATGCGAAGGGACTCAGGGCAAAGTGGTTGGAATTGGGCGATGTATGACAAAACAGGGAACTAATCTGGTCAAACAATGCAGGCCGAAGACAAATCTAGTTAATGCTGGTTCACTGAGCACAGAAAAAGAATACCTCCACGCATCTACTACCCAAAAAACAACTGCTAAGATACACAAAGAAAGAGAAGCTAAAAGAAATTATAAATTACCAGGATTTTCTTTTAAAAAGCATATAAGGAAGAAAAAAGAAAAAAAGATAAGGGTACTTTCTCACAGCCAGGAAAGGAGATTAAACATTTAGGACAAACCAGAGGTATATTTCTAGTATCTCATCTAAAGATGAAGCTAGCCCTTAATCAATTTGGCTCAGTGGATGGAGCCTTGGCCTGCAGACAAAGGGTTCCAGGTTCGATTCCAGTCAAGGGCATGTACTCTGATTGTGGGCACATCCTCTGTAAAAAATCGATAAAATATATTTTTAAAAAATAAATTTAAAAAATAAAGATGAAGCTAAGGCCCAGCAGGTGTGGCTCACTGGTTGAGCATCAATCTATGAACATGGTTCAATTCTTGGTCAGGGCATATGCCCAAGTTGCAGGCTCGATGCCCAGTGTGCAGTGTGTAACAGACAGCCGATCAATGATTCTCTCTCATCACTGATGTTTCTATTTCTCTCTCCCTCTCCCTTCTATTAAAAAAAGAAAAGGCTCTAGCTGGTTTGGCTCAGTGGATAGAGCATCATCCTGCGGTCTGAAGGGTCCTGGCTTTGGTTCTGGTCAAGGGCGCCTGCCCATGTGGTATGCTTGGTCCCCAGTGGAGAGTGTGCAGGAGGCAGCTAATTAATGATTCTCTCTCATCATGGATGTTTCCATCTCTCTCTCCTTCTCTCTTCCTCTCTGAAATCATGAAAAAAAGAAAAAAGATGAAGCTAGGGTAAAGCTATCTTCTAGACGCAGGCTCCACTTCCGCCTTAGGTGGCAGTAAGAAAGGCTCCAGGAAGTGTCCAGAAGGAAGATGAAGAGAACAGTGTAACACCCCGGGTCAGGGTTAATTGAAAACTAATAGAGGATCCAAAGATCCTGCCACAAACAGTTTGTATTATAAGGAAGAAACTTATTTTTTCTAATTGTTAGCAAAGTCAAACAAAAAGAAAATGCGTATAATGCAAAGTGATTGAGTAATATGAATGCATGGCTGGCAGTGCTTAGAGTAGCCCCCACCAGGCCATGGGCTGGGCGCTACCAGATGTCAGAAGGCAGAATGAAGGGTAAATGTTTACTCAAACAGGGTTTTCTAAAGAAACTTTTTGAAGGAACACAGAAATGTGGCTTGGCAGAAAGAGGGGCCTAGAGAATTTCCTTGGGACTCCCAGTCCGCAGGGCCACTGACCCCCACGTCCTCCACTCCTTCATATACAGTAGTGGGGCCAGCACGTACTGCATGACACACAGATTCCTATGTGAGTGACAGACAAACGGAACAGTACTCGGCTCACCTTGGGATACTGACGGTAGCAGACTTCAGCAAGATGCAGCCCCGTGACCACTCCCAGTCTTGCCGCAAGGCGCTGCAGCAGGAGTCCCACAATGGTGGCCAACAGAAGAACCCAGAGCAACTAGAGAAGAACAAAACCCACCGTAACACTCACAGGCAGCAGGTGTTTTTTATCTGGTTGTTGGCAATGAGAAGGGGAAGCACTACATTCAGGAAAGAGCCCAGGTCAGGGACCAAATGACCCAAGTTCTGCATCAGGTTCTACACATGACCTGGCATGTCTCCTGTATCCCGCTGAGCCTTACTTTCTCCCATCTGTAGTTTCTCCTTTACTCAAGGGAACTGTGTGGGTGAAATAAAAAACCAACTATGTGGATAAAATAAAATAAAAAGACAGATGGAAAAGTACTTTTCACTCAAACGTCACCGCAGGTTCAGAGGTTTATGCCCACCAGCAGAGTAAAAGAAAAGAATGTGAGTGTGTTGTATGTGTTCAAAAGGGACACGGGCCGAAACTGGTTTGGCTCAGTGGATAGAGCACGGCCTGCATACTGAAAGGTCGCAGGTTCGATTCCAGTCAAGGGCATGTACATTGGTTGCGGGCACATCCCCGGTAGGGGGTGTGCAGGAGGCAGCTGATCAATGTTTCTCTCTCATCAACATTTCTAACTCTCTGTCCCTCTTCCTTCCTCTCTGTGAAAAATCAATAAAATATATTTTAAAAGTAAATAAATAAATAAAATAAAAGGAACATGGGTAGAACTAGACATTTACCTTAAACCCAGCCACTGCTCCAGACTGCAAATCTGATTCAATGTTTCCTGGATCGAGGTAGGCAATGCTCATAAGAAAGCCCGGTCCCGTGAAAGCCCATAGTTTACGAAAGCTAAAACAGGAGTGCTGTACAAGAGGAAAAGAGATCAGACTGATCATCACCTTTATACTACCGATCTGTTTTATCATACGCAAAGCAACAAGAACAAAGGATTGAGGATGGTGGATACTGGGTGTGCCCAAGTTTCATCTCCATTTTGTCCACTTATTATCAATAAGTTGGCCCCTTTTCTGTCCAAGTAAAGAGCCTTTCCATTATCTTTCTCTTTTCCATCAGCCTCTCATTTTAAAACAAGAGTAACAATATCAGTACCTCTGTGCTCAACCAATACCCAAATAGGACAAAAGCTGGTTTGTCCCAGTGGATAGAGTGCAGGCCTGCGGACTGAAGGCTCCCGGGTTCGATTCTGGTCAAGGGCACGTACCTTGGTTGCAGGCACATCCCTGGAGGAGGGTGTGCAGGAGGCAGCTGACCGATGTTTCTCTCTCATCGATGTTTCTAACTCTCTGTCCCTCTCTCTTCTCTCTGTGAAGGAATCAATAAAATATATATATATATTTTAAAAAGCTGTCGTAAAGCCGAAACCGGTTTGGCTCAATGGATAGAGCGTCGGCTTGGGGACTGAAGGGCCCCGGGTTAGATTCCGGTCAAGGGCATGTTCCTTGGTTGCGGGCACATTCCCACTAAGGGGTGTGCAAGAGGCAGCTGATCGATGACTCTCTCTCATCGATGTTTCTAACTCTGTATCTCTCTCCCTTCCTCTCTGTACAAAATCAATAAAATATATTTAAAAAAATAAAAATAAAAATAAAAAAATAAAAAGCTGTCATAAAAGTGGAACATAAATCTCATATTTCTTTGATTTAAGCATTTCGCATTGGCAACAGTTTTCAAGGCCCTCATTTTCCTGAACAGCTATTTATTCTGATTTTTAAAATTCGGCCTTCGGAGACTGTGTGCCAAACTTAGACCTGAGGCTGTTGATCTTGAGTTGTCCGGCAGGCCCGTTACACACGTTTTCCTTACATGACTGCTTTTTCTCCCCAGGACCTGTCACTGACCTCCTCCTCAGGAATGGGAATCTTCTCGTCAAAGTAAGTGGTGAAGGGGTCCTCGGAGCCCCCGGGGGACTGCGGGAGAGAGGAGCTGCTGTAGGCAGGGTTGATGGCGCCAAGGCTGGCAGAGTCCCCATAGTCTTCAGAAGCAGCACCTGAATAAATAAATTTGAAAAGAAATTTTTTTTAAATGAGCAAACTAACAATTCATCCATAGTAATAATGAAATTAAATCTTTAACACCCTAAAGGCATAAGAGTTACCTGACTATCTCAATTTATTTCTAATACTTTATTTTTCTTTTAAATAAACTTTTCAAATTATTTTCTTAGTCCTCACCTGAGGATATGTTTTTATTGATTTAAGAGAGAGAAACATCAATGTGAGAGAGAAACATCAGTCATAACCTACAGTATGCACCCAACTGGGGACCGAACATGGAAAAAGGCTATGGCAAAAAATCTCCCTATCACTTCCTTCTGAAGTTTTTCAGCTCTACATCTGGGTTTTTTTTTTGTGTTTTTTTTTTAATACCTTTTATCAATTTCAGAGAGGAAGGGAGAGGGAGAGGGAGAGAGAGAAACATCAGTGCTGAGATAGATTCACTGATCAGCTGCCTCCTGCTGGTCCCCCACTGGGGATCGAGCCCACAACCCCGGCTTGTGCCCTGCTCTCCTGGCTCATAGGTGGACACTCAACCACTGACCTACAACAGCTGGGCTCTGTATCAGTTTTAGGACTACTTACATAGTCTCACAATGGTTTCCCTACTTTCATACTTCTATTCCCAATTGGCAAGTTTTAGAACCATTTCATTTTCTTCTAAGAACACTGATGTTGAACTCAAAATATTAACATCCCCAGACTAGCCTCTTTGGTAACCTAAAATCCTAACTTTTACAAGAAAAACTAGGTCAATCTAGTGAGAGACACACCACCACCACCACCACCACCACCCCTCCTAATATTTGGTAGGACTTACTCAAAGAAACTTCCTTGGACATTATACCTCCGCAGGCTTCTCAAAAATGTGGAAGTTGCAAAATCCTGCCACAGTTTGGGCTAAAATCTGAGGCTGCCGGAAAACCGCCAGCAGGAACCCCTTTGCCTCCTGACTAAGGCCCGCAGGAAAGAGGGCAGGCCACGTGGTGACCCTCGTGACAGGAGGACTCATCTAAGACTGATAAGTGTTTCCCTGACCTTGGCATTCTGAAGTTAATCTTAAATGCAGGAGGGATAGGGATTAGGGACTGGAAGATAAGGGCTAATCTGCCAAAAAGATACAAAACCAGGATTGCCGTAGCCATCTAATGGCTATTTTGAACCACAAAACTCTAATCACAGTGTTTCTAAGAAATCCTTATAACCTCCAATTAGAAAATAAAAGCTTTCTTTCTATATGGAAATGTATTAAGAAATTTTTTTAGTTATAAAAAGGAATGAAAATTCTAAAGGGAAAACTTAGAATTAGGAAGGATTAGTCAAAACAGTCAAGAAGCTCTAATCAGTAGAAGGTGCACACCCAGTACTTTCCATCTTCATAGAATCTGAATTGCCATCAGCAGCATAGAAGGAGGGTTTTATGACAGGTCTGTAAATATACTGCCTTTGCAGGCATTACTGCTATAGAAACCAAACGTGTTGCTAATCTTGGCTGTCTCAGAACTGGAAACAAGATGAGGCAGATCAAAAAAAAAAAAAAAAAAAAAAAAAAAGATGAGGCAGGTCTGTGGTTATAAACCCATTTTCATTTACAGCCTAAGCCACCAGATGGTGACTTCTGAATGGAGCAGATCTTCATGGACATATTATTGGCCGAAGGAGGGCAAATGGGAACATTTTTTGTAGGAATAGACAATGAGAAAGAAAATATGATAAATTGCTAAATCCAAATAACAATAGACAATAACACAAAAACTGTGAATTACCATCTGGCATCTTCTGTTCAGGTCCCAACACCATGGTTTTCTTGGAATAGGATTCTGGAAAGTAGAAAAGGGAGGGAGAGGAATGAACAAGAACAAACTAATAAGTTCAGCAACAGCATTTGTACTCTGTACAACCAAAGCCTTACTATATGAAAAGAATAATTCTTCTATTGAATTAGATAACCTTGAAAATAATTAGTTTTCTGAGTATGATTAAGGGATAATTAAAAAAATATTCTTGTTTAAACTGACTCAGAACTTAAGCTATTGAAATTTCCAGTCCTATCTGAATATCAGTGCATTGTCCTTTGATGCCTCCAGTTAACCATCTGAATGGCCTCAAAAAGAAAATGTTTCATTGTCTAAACCACCGGACATCTGAGGATTACCGTCCTGAGCCAATGCGGGCACCAAGAATGCAGAACTGATTCTCCTCAAAAATGGACTTTTTACTAAAAACATTCAGTCTTTTCTTTGTCCTCGGGAACACTCTTGGTATTGCCTAGTAGTTGGGAGGCTTCGATTAGAAATAAATGACCAAGATTTATTTAAGGGCCCAGCCAGTGTGGCTCAGTGGTTGAGGTCACAGTTGGATTCCTGGTCAGGACACATGCCTGCGTTCCAGGCTCCATCTCAAGTATGTGTGTGGGGATTGGGGGAGGGGGTGTGTGTGGCATGCGGGAGGCAGCCAATCAATGACTCTGTCTTCCTCTCTCTGAAATCAATAAAAATGTATTTGTTTAAGTATTTATTCAAGGGCCTTGTGCTTCAGTTTCTGGAAAGGGAAAAGCGCCTCACCAGCACACGGACAGTGGAGGGCCACTATTTCCTAGCTTCATGTTTCCCCAGGACAGATGTCAGCTCTAATGTTTCAGTCTCATCCCCCCCTCCCCCAACAACTGGGAGAAGACACGAGAGCGACCATGCCCTCCGCGCCTGGGCCTCGGAGCGCTGGGCGGGAGGGCTGCGCCTGGTTCTCTTCTCCAGACGCCGCACGCCTCTCAGACCTGCAATAAGCACCTGTGGGGACGAGGACGTGTCCAAAATGTCCCGCATTCTGTTGGGTTAAGTTCAACTGGGTGTGAAGAGGTATTAATAAGCCCATTTGTGTGTTTTTTGGGGATTTTTTTATTTTATTGATTTTTTACAGAGAGGAAGGGAGAGTGATAGAGAGCTAGAAACATCGATGAGAGAGAAACATCGACCAGCTGCCTCCTGCACATCCCCCACCGGGGATGTGCCCACAACCAATGTACATCTTTTACCAGAATCAAACCTGGGACCCTTCAATCCACAGACCCACGCTCTACCCACTGAGCCAAACCGGTTCCGGCATTAATAAGCCCATTTGACCACAGATCTATGGTGTATTCTCCAGTCAACCCCGCCAATAGGCTTGATTTTTTTAAATTTCTGATCTACTAATTAAGGAATCCACTTCTCAGTCAATTCCAAATTCAGAAGGGGGAAGAGAGGGTAATAATAACTCTCCTGAAGAAGGTCTGAAGACTCTCCTTAGCTGTCTTTTACTTATGTTCCTTATGTTTAAATTGTCTTTTCCACTTATGTTCCTTTGTTCCTCCTAACTGAACAGTCCTCGACTTTCTGTTTTAGACCATCTATCTACCAACATATTCTATATTATACCTATCTTATAGAATTACAGGATTCAGACCCAAAAGGGGTCGTAGGTTTCATCTATTTTCTGGGGTATAAAACATACCACCACTGACTAATTTGGAAAACAATGTTCATCTCTGCAGTAACCAATATCAGGTATTTTGTTATAATGTAAAACCAGCCATATTCCTTCTATCAGGTCTTGAGCCACCAGCTGGCTCAACACCAGGCAAGAGATCCCAAGCCCCCTTTCAGCCAGTCACCATAGCTCCTCACCAAATGGGATTGACACCTGACAACGCAGAGTAGCAATAACAACTTGCTTCCTATCGAAGTACAGAGCCTTTTTACTTCCAATTCTAAAAAGCCAGGTAATCAGGTTTCCTAGCCCACAATGAATTAGAAACCACAAATCCGATCCGGGATTAAGGCTGTCATAGGAAAAGGTTTTGGGCCATTTGATCTGAGGCAAAGAGCTCTTCCTTATACTTCCATTAGCTCTGAGAACATTATTATTAAGAAGAATTGCCCTAGCAGGTTTGGCTCAGTGCACAGAACATATGCCTGCGAACTGAAGAGACCCAGGTTTGATTCCAGTCAAGAGCATGTACCTTGGTTGCGGGCACACCCCCCAGTGCAGGAGGCAGCTGATCGATGTTTCTCTCTCATCAATGTTTCTAACTCTCTGTCCCTCTCCCTTCCTCTGTGTAAAAAAAAAAAAAAAAAATCAATAAGGGGGGCAATGGTAAGATATGTACACATATACTACCTTAATTTAAAAAAATGGAAAGGAGGGGGAAAAATCAATATATTTAAAAATAAATAATTTTTAAAAAGAATAATAATTATCTTAATTATACTAGAGGCCCAGTGCACAAAATAGTGCACAGGAAGGGTCACCAGTCCTGGCCAGCGATCCGGGCCGATCAAGTTCCCTGCCTTTAGCCTCCCCACTCCTCCTTCCCTCACTCCCTCAGCGCCCCAGCCACCACTGTTTGTCATCCACCATGTTCCATGCCACCCTCTGGTGGTCAGCACATATCATAGCGAGCAATCAAACTCCCAGTCTGGAGCTCCCAAGGGAACAATTTGCATATTAGTCTTTTATTATATAGGATAATTAATATATTATTGTTATATCAAATTTCTTAACTGTGGCCTACTCACCAAGAACTGATTAAATTCGATTATTTTTGTAGTGATGCATGATATCCTATTTAAGAAGACACAGAAGTACTTTTATACATTTGAGGAAGATTCCAACCCAAAATAGGCTACTTAACGTATATTTAAAAAGCAATGAATGGAGGCACACCCCCTCCCAGGAGCACTCGGGCACCTTTCCCTTCCCTTTCCTCTTCCCCCATAGGCATGCATCTCCTAAATTCCAAAGGACCCTACAAGTCTTACAACCAGGGACACAATGGGCAGCAGCTGTTCTTCCCAAGCTAATCCCCTGAACCGTCTCCAAGGTCCCCTTTTCTCCAGTGAGTGACACAGCCCGGCCTGGGCTCACTGTCCTGGAGAGCCAAAGCAGCCTCACCTCCACTCTCTCCTTTTATCCCACGTCCGTCTTTGTTTCCTGTCCCCAGCTTTCATAAACGTGCTCTCAAAATAAAAGGCAAACAACTGAGTGTTTTTCCCCAATCCTGTAGTCTGCAGAAGTGATAAAGAATAACTAGACAGAAATATTTCATAATAAAAAAATTAATAAATATCACTATTCTAATTGATTATTCCTATACTAAATACATATAAAGCCATTAATATATAAGAAGTCTAGTCTTCTCTCTGAAATCTCAGGAATGTATTATTCCAGGAGAGAACTGATTCTAGATTCCAACTTTCTCATTAAAACTTTTCATTAACAAACCACAAGCTTCACTGTTTGTAGTGCATATAGAACATAACTAGGAGAGGGAACAGAGGGGGTCAGTTATGTGTGGCGTGCTGCACAGTATTTGAGCCTCCATGCAAGTTTAAGATACATACGAAAGCTGTAAATTAATATTAAGGTAGTTTTGCTTGCTAAGGCCATACTACAGGCCATTTTCAGTCACTCAGTTACATTAAGGAAAAGACGAAGTTGAGATTTAAGCAACCAGAATCAACTCAGCAATATTTTGATAATTATGATTAATATGCTTTGATATTCTAGATCACTCCAACCATAAAGTATCACTTTCTCTTATTAAAGCCAGTAAGATTCACCTTATGAAACAGCAATCAACAACAGAAAAATGGTTAAGTGTAATATAACTATTTTATCTTATTCCTTATCAAAAGTTGTAAGACTGTTTTACAGTATTAAAATGCTAATAAAATTACATTTTCGGTCCAAATGTCATTAAGTCTACATGTCCTTTGACTCAACAATTCTACTTCTAAGAATACATCCTATATGCTCATATAAGAAAGTATGTGCATATTTCTCATAGCATTATCTGTAGTATCAAAAGGCTGCGATATCAAAAAAACAACCAAGATATTAGCAGAGGACTGATTAAATAAACTATGAACATTCATACGATGGAATGCCATCAGCTCTTATAAAGCAGATCTACATATATAGGTAGGAAATAATCTCCAACATATGATGTCAAGTAAAAAAACAAACTTTCAGAACAGTATGCTATCATTTGTGTAGGAAAATAAAAAGAAAACACACATGTACACATATATACTATCCCCAAAGGACAGTAAGTCAAAAACTGGTAATGCCGTCCCTAAGACGAAGAAGTGGGAGAGCCCAAATGAGATTAGATAAAAGAAAGACCTCTCAATGAATATACATCACATTCCATTTTCTTCTATAAAAATTGTTTTACCATGTGCGCTTCTGTATTATTTATTTTTAAAAAATATATAAAGATAATATGAATTTGCTTCTTTTTTTCAATTAGTTTACTTTCCATATATTTTGTATTGGTTTTAGATGTGCACTAGATAATCATATACTGTACAAAGCATTCCCCGACATCTCCAGCACCCACCTAGCACCAAGCGTAGCTACCACAATACTGACTATATTCCCTGTGCTGTACCTGACATTATCCCCATGACTATTTTGTAACTACCAATTTGTATTTCTTAATCCCTTCACCCAGCTATTAAGACTCCCTTCTAATAGCTGTCAGTCTGTTCTCTGTATCTATGAATTTGTTTCAATTTTGTTTGTTCATCTATTTGTTCTTTAGATTCCACATATAAGTGAAATCATATGGTACTTGTCTTTCTCTGATTGACTTATTTCACTGAGCCTAATACCCTCTAGTTCCATCTATGCTGTGGCAAATGATTGGATTCACTTTCTTTTTTTTTACAGGTTGAAGTAAAGATTGCTTATTTAGCAAAAAACACCTATGAAATACCTCAAACTTGAATAAATGAGTAACAAATAACTAAAATCATAACTTCAAGTTTTTCTAATAATG